ACATAGTAGAATTTTCACAATTTAAATTTTCGGAAGAATTTTTAACAGAGGGTTCAGAAAACAGCGAACGTGGACGAAAGCGAAAACGACATCCGAGTCATCTAGGTATGATTGTTCAACGTAGATCTCCACGAGTTGCATCATTTATTGATTCAGAATCATCGTCCAATAGCTATTCAGAAAACTCTCGCCGTCGGCAAACCAAAAAAGAGAAATGTTTGATAATATCGTCTGTGTTTCAATATCTAGTTGATGAAACTAAACGCGAGTCTGAAATTTGTGAATTTATCCTCCCTGACTCCCAGTTTAAACATTTGATGGAGGTGAAACTTTTAGAAAATAATTTCGAACTTGATAACAATTCCTCTGTGATATCTGCTGCCAAGAGTGCTACTTGTGTTGAAAAGGTGAAAACTCCTAAATGTAACAATAACTTAAAAGTTGAAGATTCTGAGAGAGATGTGAAATCCATGACGGACATTGATGTTATTTACGATCCCAAACCAATTGATGAGAACTTCATGGACAGTGTTGAAGACTCTACATCATCAAAACCACGGTATGAAAATTTGACAACTGATTTGGAGAAAGACATTAAAGTAATTTATGATTCGGAACCGATTCCTGACGATTCTATGTCTGAAGAACAGTGTTACCATAGAAACGATGCTACAGACTTGCAGGAAAATGATCTTTCAACTATTTCTGAAAAGTTTTCCAAGGAAAATTTGGATATTATTGACAATTTTGAGGAAAAAGGTAATAAGATTTTGGAAGATATTGAGAAAAAGACTGAAAACGAGGAGAAAGAAAACCTAGAAAGTGCTGTCCAAGGAGATAAATTAGACTCAACTAAATCACTTGAATCTCCTGCTTTGCAAGCTGATCCAACTGAAATATGCCAAGAAAATTTTGATGACTTTGAAGTGACTTTTAAGAATAACATCCAGTTGTCAATATCAACACCAAAATTTTCTTCCAAGATCAAAAGTCGACATACCAAGAATCTCTTTAAAAATCCCACGTCAACCCCGAAATGTGCGAATCTTTCTGAAACACCAAAAACTCCAAATTTAGATGATCTGGCAAGTTCAACTCCAAAAATCAACGCAAATTTCGTCAATTCAGTGTTAAATGTGGAATCATTTGAAACCCCAAAAGCTGAACCATCAAAATTTACTGAAAACTTGGATGCATACACAACACCAAAAGATGCCAACATCAGACGTCATTTTAATTTTGCAGACGACAATCTATCCCCGCCTTTATTCCCCACCCAAAAAGACTTGACTCCAATTGGTATAAGAAGACTGGAAGATGAAACTTTAGACTCTTTTATACAGTTGGACAATGCTGAAACAGAGTGTGATGAGGTGATTGGCCCCGTAGATTGTATTAAGGTAATGCTCATATTTTAAAATTGTTGATGATAGATCTAAATGTAGAAAACTTAGCCAGAAGTTCAAAAGAAGTGTATGACTAAAGATTAAAGATGTCATACTTAATGATTTTTACTGTAGAGTCATTACCTACAGATTGTTAGTTCTGATTGAATAAAATGTTGTTTTTATATTTATAGTTATGTAGAGAAGAGAGCGTGGTGTTTATTTCTGGTGGAACCTGGACATCAGAAGGTCATGAATATTCATACATCGTCTGTCTCTTACCGTCTGCTATCAGTGTCTGGAGTCAGGGTCAAGGTCAATGGGGGAACGAACTAGATTGGTATCTTTCACAGGTAGGTTAAAGGGTCATTTCTTGAATCGAAGAAATACGAATCTAACTAGACCAAACCGATATTAGATGGCATCCTTAATTGACCAGAGGAAGAAAGGAACATAATATTTAAGATATTGAGGTTTTGTGACAAATATTCGACCAATTAGTGTAATTGGAATGGGTACGTCTGGGTGAATTAGCCCCAATAGTGGATATACGAGACTTAAACAACATTGATAACTCTGCAACAAATTTTCATTTCACATAACCTTGATATGTTAATTCTAATTCAGACATATCAAGCAATAGAAGGCTGGATAATCAAGAAAGCTAATAAAGTAGTCCTGATTATCCTAGAAGAGGATAAGACAGGAGACCAGCGTGTATCGCTATTTTACTATGATCTATTGTCAGGTGATTCCAATATGAGTAATATAGATTTGAGTATAAACGAAACAAAGTAAGTATGAACTATTCAAAGTGACAAACCCTCAAAGGAAAAACTTATATTGCTCCAAATCAATGCTTCATAATCATGTGAAGGATCCAATCCTAGCCAACAATAACGTCACCAAAGCAATACTGCATTACTGAAACACAGTCAGTTTGATTAGCCTATCTTGGGTTGCCAAAACGCCTGTCATTGAAAGGCATTACTTATAATGACCCCAAAGCAAATTCTCGTAAAGAATCCAATCAATAGTGTGTCCAAGTGACATTAACGGAAGAAGTACTGGTAATATTTTTTGAATCTTGAGATGACCGCATTTCAGACATTAGTCTGTTAGCTGACAAGGGAAAAGAATATTATGAGAGCTCATCTTATTGAATATATCAAAGTCTTTTCAAGTTCTGTATTTAATGTTCTATTTCCAGCCCTGTTACAAGTTTACTGTGTTGTATTATAAACAAAGATCAGCTAATCATAGGTTATAATCATTGTACATCACTCACGGCAACCAAACATGTATTAATAGATGGATATAAACAGATGTCCTTGTGCTGCCACCTTGAATCTACGTCTGGTTATTTGATGGACCTTGCAGAAGTCAGACATCTTGAATGTTGCGTTGTGGGATTGACGTCCAAGAGAGAGGCGTTGATTTGGTAAGATTTAGATGAATTCACAGGACAAATCCAGACATAAAATTGTGTATCTATTAGAGCCAAATACTTAGATAGATAGTATATCTATCCATCTGTTTGACAACATGATTAGAAATGAACAGCAGAAAATTGACTTCCAGTAGCAAATCTGAGGTGCTTCAGAGAGGTCAACATGACCTGTCTTCCAACTCTAGGATGTAAAAACTGATTTCATATCCTTGGTTAGATCTGTAGGATAAAGAAAATACCTTTAATTTAGTTCCAATGTAACCCTGTACCAGATTTTGTATCTTGTTAGAGCTACAGAAGGAAGTTTAGTCGTTTAACTCAGTTTATTCTGTATTTTTATGAGACCATTAATGTTTGTTACTATATTTTAGGAACCATGAAGTAGGGTTTTTAATAAAGAAGATAGATTTAGACAGTGTAATAACACCAGGAGTTTCATTGGCTGCTGTTCACAATATACAGGTTGCTTTTCTTATTTTTCTCTTAAAACAAGTCGTAAGATACAGATTCAAAATGATAATGAAATTTATAATTGGTGATCCATGAGTGACAATAGTATTAAATGCCAGGGTAATTATTCCAAAGGCTCTAAAACTAGGGACTATACTCAGATAGCAATATTATTATCACTTGACAAATGATAAGTAAAATGCTAGAAGCAAAGAGTCTCACAGCTCGCTCAAGAAGACACAATGAAATTCACCATTCATTACCGAGGAAGGTTCAGCTTTAAGGAGAGTGCTGAAAGCTTTATGGAAACTGACGAGAGATGCCAATGATTTCATCAATAACTTTGTATATTTTCAGGGGTATCTAGTATGTCATCTTCTATATCGTGTTAAATCAGACAGCCCGGGCTACGTGGTGATAGTTAACATTACTAACAACTCCAGTCTAATTCTACATGATTACCAATCTCTACAGTTCTCTTGGAAAGGGTGAGTTGGATTTACATTGATTGTGCTTGGGGTTTGTTGGATTTACAACAGGGTTTCTCTAGTAAATTAGCTATAACACCACTTCTCAGATATGGAAGGCCAAAGAACAAAGATGAAGGGTTTTTGGTGATATAAACATGTGAACCAATGAGTTTATTAAGCGAACAAGCGTTTCATTATCTCCCTTGTATTTCATTATCTCCCTTGTATTTCATTATCTCCCTTGTATTTCATTATCTCCCTTGTATTTCATTATCTCCCTTGTATTTCATTATCTCCCTTGTATAATCATATCATTTGTAATTCTTAATTTTATCTCATTGATTTTTCAGTTTAAAAAATGTGGCTATATGTGGAGATTCGATTCTAGCTTCCGATATCCATGGAAACACTGGACTCTGGGATATGATATCTGGTGAATTATTGGCTGATATTCCCAGATCAAAGGTCACCAGTGGAAATATCAACCAATCAGATCAATCGTTATATCTGGGACTTGATGGTGGAGCTGTTCTTGTTTATTCCATAGAAAATATCATCATCAAAAGTTGATACCAAATGATTTACATATCAAATATTCTATTATTTTCTGTGATAATTTTTGAGAGTTGTCTTCATTGGTAGATTTGCTCCTAATAAAAGCCAAATAACTTTGACAATGTCTTAAAACTAAAACTGTAATACTTTGTTAAAAGAATATATTTATTGTTGTATGTAATTAAAGTATGAAGTCTGAAAATTGTACTTTTCTCTTTTGGTTTCAGAGCAGATGTCTGTATTTGTTGAAAACCTCTGGGGGCCTCTGCAACTTTACCAAAAGCCAACATATTTTTGAATCAAATTCCTGTATCAATAAATAAATGTGATATGAAATAGAAGTGGACATGTTAAAGGGACGGTGGGCAAATCAAGAGAGTAAAGTAAAAATGGACTGTCCAATGTCTATAATATTATAAAGGCTTCTGTAATGGAGTGGAAACTGAGTCACTCTGTCAATCAACCTTACTCATTCAGTTCTACAGAATTCAGTTCCTCAAACCTCATTGGAAATGTGTTTAATTCGCGTAAAGTCTTAGGATATTCTAAATCATCATGCATTGTGATGTTAGACGGTGATGAGAACATAGTCGTATTGTGGTCAGAGTCAAAATATTATCTTGATTAAAAGTATTTGTAGTCTGTGTCTTACTCGCCTTGAAGCCAGTTATCTCCCCTTTTCAATATGGACGAATATTTACTAAACATGCAATAGAATTTAGAAATTTATTAAATTCAGTTGGTTTCTTCAATTAAATCTTCTAAGGTAATAATCTCTTAGATATATACTTAAACTGCACTTTTGATTGTTCCAATTTCATGATCAAAATGCGCTTAGACTTTCCAACCCATGGCCATGCAGACGAGCTGTCTCAATGACTGTCATGTCATAATTAAAAAAGCTACTTATGGTTTTACATGATAAATGGCTAAGTTAGTAGCCCGGAGCTTTGTCTCATGTCCCAAATTTTTGAATATTTTTAAATGGAATTCGAGACGAGTTTATTTTATTACAAATTACGGCAGGCTCAACTCTAACATGTTTTACTGTGTCATTACAGCCGGGGGTTGATTTGACCACCTCAGATTTTCTACAATGACCCATGTCACCTGTGTATTATTTTATTTCTAGCACATACTTGAACATGATCTCAACTTAGATCCAAGATGGAAGCCAGAACAGCCGTAGTTTGGGTGGATAACTACAGTGGGTCGATATATCCAGTAGATTTTGAGTCTGAACCAACACCAGCTTGTCAGAAAAATAAAACACCGCAGATGAAAAGCCTGGTGGATACTTGTTGTAATTATATCGTTCGTGATTCATCAATGACGCTCGAAGCGATAGAAACCGTGCCGAAAGATTTGTGTATTCCGTTGATGAAAGAGGCGTTATTGACCAATAAGGACAGAGCTATGGAAGTTTTACTGACTCATTGGCCAATGGAAAGCTTTTCGTTAAAATCCCTGGCCCCTAATTTATTCACCTCCCTGATGTTACTTTATAATGATAGCTATTTATCAGAAGTCGTACGTCAGGGCATGAGATACACCACAACTCTCGTTCATAGATTTATTCAGGGGTTGAAGAAAGGTCATCCGAATAAATTAAAATATTTGGATCTAACTGGTTACCCTACAGGTATGTTTTGAAGACAACTTTCTTATCCTGATTTTCTTATTCAAGACGTAAATAATTGGTTGATGGGAACATGTTGCAATGAAAACTCAAAAGCTTCTCTAGGTCTTTTTTTTATTCTTTCCACTGATGAAATAAACGAAAATGGAAATACTCTTTGTGATAATAATTGATTGATATTTCAGCTGAAGTTGTGTTATTTTATCTCTCAACTCACTGTCTATTGGCTCATAATGAAACACGACGGAAGAGTCTAGTAGAGAAGTTTAACGAGGCTGCCTCCATCGCGTACGATGTCGTGGATGATAGAAATGTTCTAGAACCAGTTGACAGTTCTTTTCCTGATAATTGCAGTAAGTTCAATTATTTATGTGTATCAAGGACACTGATTGAATTGATTTCCACCATTTCAATTTTTCTGGAAAGAGAGGTACATAGGTATTCATTTACTCTTTATGTGTATATGGGAAAAATGCTCAGATGTAATGATAATGTAAGACATCATTCTTATTCCATTTATTTCAGAAAATTATATTGTGATAAATTGTATTATGAATTGGTTGTTTATATTTTTTGTAGAATTAATAGTAAAGCTGGATGCGTTCGTCACATCAGAATCAACGTTTGCCGAATTATGTAAAGCGTTAAAAGTGTCCACGTTCCCAGCCAGTAAAGTCCAGCTATGTATACAGAGATTGGGGGCCATACAGCTAGGAGCACCTGCTATTAATCTTATATTGAGACAAATGAACACCAAGGTAACATATACTGTATAATTGCAAATATAATGCACACCCCTTTTCTTTTATTGCCTCCAAGAAATTGGTAAATTCTATGTTTGAAATTGAACTTAATTTGACCCATAAAGGGTATAGGTTGGTCCCCATTGGCATAATGTTAGACATAACCAATTTTTGTACTGTGTTGAAATGGATTAAATTCTTTTGTCCTCGAGGGCTGAATGATAGACAGACAGATCCATGGCTATTGGACCTTATTCGGACCCATATAAAATATAGAGTCTATGATTGTCCCCATGGGCTGACTTTGCTGTCACTTTGGTGTATTGGACCTAATTGTAAAGTTTTAATTATTCTAATCTATCTCAATGGATTTAGTGGGTCTGCCAATCTTGCTATCATTTAGAAGCGAAGTTAATTCTGACCGATGTATTACAAAGTATTAATAATTATTAATAATCTATTTTCAGTATGTAACAGCTCTTCAACTTCATTATAATTCCTTAACTTGTGACGACTTCGTTACGTTGATTCCATCCTTAAAAAACTTGTCCAACCTCACGTCGATAGACTTAGCTTGTAATAATATGAACTTCTCTACTAATGTAACATCAAGTATGCATATAGCCGAATGTCTGGGTTCGTTACCCAAATTAGTCCGTTTGGATCTTAGCAATAATCGCGTAAAATGTTTGTTAAGACAGTTGCTATGTCAGGTGACTCAACCATTACAGTATTTACGTCTGGCATCCTGCGCTCTGCGTCTTAACGACGTGACCTATTTAAGTCTATCCCATCATGCACATGGACTACAGGAATTATGTCTCGGTTCCAACGGATTAAACGGAATGACGGATGAACTGCGGAAGTTATTCAAAGCTGTGAAATCAACTTTAAAGATTTTGGACATCGAAGATTGTTCAATGTTGGATCAAGATTTATTTTTGGTGCAGTCATACATAGCAGACATTGATAAACTTTTATTTGTGAATTTAGCCGAGAATATTCTTTCCGTTGATGCGTTGAAATCGTTTGTGGAAGTGATCGCTAAGAACATATCAGTCCAGTGTGTACGTTTGTCCTACCCTCGTGAATGTTACCTAGAAACAAGATTTAATGACGATAGTTTGAAAGTGTTGCTAGTGAACGATTTACAGAATATCGTAAATAAATCATGTAAAACTCATCCTCGGACCAAACCCATACAAATTATTCTGGTGGAATCGTCTGACGTGGAGATGATGGATTTGGAATTCTAATTAATTCATCTTGATCGTGGTGTGAAGAGGGTTAACAGTTAATACCCTACCCATTCCTCTTTCAGCTTATCATTGTTAAGATATCGAAATTGGAGCAAATAAATGATATTTGGAGATAACAGGACTCTGACCTTTTGAGTTTTCTTCTGAATATAATTATCACTTCTATTCTATGTGGTTTGAAGTTTCAAGATTGAAACCATGCAGCACTTTTGTTTTATTCAGAGTTTTTCTTTTCATTTCTCATTCATAGAACAAAAGAAATGGAGATTTGATTGACAGTTTCTGCATCAGTTTGAAATTAAAAACATCTAATCATGAAGTGACATTTTTCAGCGAGCTTTCCCGAACATCCCTGACACAAATTAATTCGCTGGACCTTGCTTCTGCAAAAAAATCTTTGGATAAAAAGTTCCTGAAATTTCACACTGATAGATAACTCACTCCCAATGAATGAAGATTGTTACATATTTCTTTGTGTGAATATAATTTTCACACCCATCTATGTGGTTGAGGTTTCAAGATCGAAGCCATGCAATACTTGTTTCTTTTGATTTCTTTCCATTCCTTATTAAATTTTTAAAAACAAAATTGAATTTTTTATGTATTCTTTACTGATATTCCAAAAAAAAACATTATTTTTAAACAATTTTTTTTATATGCCCAGATTATTGTATATGGTTGTCACACTTTCCGTCTGTCTTTTCACGTTTATCTTATGCTAACCCCACTCCAACAACTTTTAAGGATTTATTTTAAGTTTTGCCTATACCTATCGATGATAGAATAGAACAATTTTCAGCGTTGTATATGGCACTTTTTGTTTGTGAGTATGTTGTTATGCCAAAGATGTCTATTAATTTTCATTTACCAAGTTTCGGTGCTGAACTTGGCTCAAAAAGACAAATACCCAACGTGTTCAGTTCGTATCCAATTATTTTGGCTTTTAGTTTGTGGGTTTGTGCCAATCCCAACAAATGAAATGAAAAGAAATGAAATGAGTTTTACGTCCTACTTTTCTGCACCTTGTGGGCTAATGAAGACGGGCAACGACATGCAGAGTGCAATGAGGGAAATTTTGCCAGGACAGCAGCATTAGCCTCGGTTTAATGTCCCATCTGAACGACTAGACGCTTTTTCCATGTCAGCCCCTCTTACCTGCATCACTGACAGGGGGAATCCGAAGGTGTCATCTCGATCTATCCCGGAATTGAACCCTGGACCTTCAGGTTAGCGAGCTAGCGCCACTCCCGCCAATCCCAACAAGATACTTATCTAATTTCAAACAATGTTTTCACACAATCCAGACAATAACATATAACGATACATCAAGTCACGAGAAAACAATTTATTTCTCAATCATTCAATTCAGTTTCACAATTTACAAATAAACAAACAATAATATAAAACAACAATAACAAATATAGTCACACACCATCTTCAGTTTTTAAACATTCCTTGAAATTCCATGACCATCACTTAGACATTAAAGTGCTTGTAAAGAGGTTTTCTAAAAGTTGTATGTGTATCGGGGACACTGATAGCATCAATTTACATCATTCTAATTTTCATTCTGACGCCTGTGGTGTGATTATACAGCATATTTTGCGATTAGAGACCTCGTATAACACTTAGTTTAAGTAGAATTGCAGAAACCAGAGGTCTGATTGAGAATGGAATGATACAAATTGATGCTATCAGTGTCCCTGATATACATAACAAATTTAGAAAACCTCTTTACAATCTCTTTTATGCTCAGGACTCATTGCTAGTGGGGTATTGAAGCTGACACAAGACAAAAATCAACATTAGAGAACGATAATATCTAAACAAAAATTATAACAAAATCGTTTAAGTATTTAAATGAATTGTCTTCATCCTCCCACCATCCATGCATGACAAACTGACAGAAAAAACTAAAACAATCCTGTCATGATTCAAAGGGACAGGTGCAGCATTTTTGGAGGTTGAATATACGTTAATAGTCTTCAGAAGTGCTAGAAATGTACGAAAATCTCATAAAAATACTTCAAATTAGGAATTTTACTCACTATTTTTACAGATGTCTTTTCTATATATCACAGAGTATCTTAAATTGACGAGTCATCATTTTAACATTCAAAAGCGGATAATACTTGACACACATGGGTTTGAAGGCTCAAATTTTGACGAGCTGTGAACACCATTACTGGTTAGCTGAGACTAAAGTACGATTGGTCCAAAAAATGCTGCACCTGTTCCTTTAACATAAAATATACACAATACACAATACACTAAATCTCAATCAATCTTTTCATATTTGAATTTTTTTATCTACATTATATTCTTTATTTTTTAATGATCTGAAAAAATATTTTGGCTGATTTAAAACGTAATCATAATAAATGTCATACAAAATATAAACTTAATGTATCCATTCAAAGCTGGAATAGATTTCCTGCAACTCTGATTATTTGCAAGATGGCTTTTTTGTATTAATAATAAGTGATAAATGTAAATTAAATGCATTTCATTAAAATTGCAGTCAAACCTTCATCTTATTTTAACTAATTAAATGCCCTATTTATTTACAAGCCCTAAATTAAATGCACGATTAATTAAATTTAGCTGTTGCTGATTGGATGATAAAAAGGTTAAGTTCCTACCTTAATTCAAATCAAATCAATTTTATATCTTTCAATTTTCAAAACACACACTTTTTTTCATCACAATTTGATGATAATTAATACCAAGAGTCAGGCTGGGTGTTGGCTTTCACCCCTTTATACTGGGGGCAGACGAGCGTATTATAGTGCCCCGACTGTGGCGAATTTTAAAATCGCTCAATTTGCTTGTGTACCCGCTCATGTCGATTTTTTACACCCGAACGAGTCGCATGAATCAAAAATATTCAGATATTTTCATCCGTAACCATTTACAGCTGGGTCAACTGGAATTATGAGTGAAGATGACTTACTCAAGGTCATCAGACTTTAACACACAGATCAAGATCGGAACTATTATTAGGTTATGTTTTATATAAACTACAACTATTTATTTTTTTAATTGTACTGAGGGGAAATACCTTTAGCTATATATAACTACCTAAAAATAAAATAGACTGATCCTAATGACGTTTCGAATCAATCTCAAATGTTCAGAATTAATATCTTTATTTGACTATAAATCTTAAGTAAGTTGGATACGAAGGTTTGATTTCGAGACAAGTCTTAATCATCCAGACCTATATTACGAAATAGATAAGACATTGATTCGTTATGGTGAATACGACGTATCGCCTCGACTAGCATTATACTAATATCAACTGTTTTTATCTTGTGACATTGTAATTTCTGGGCTTGATGAGGAACAGTATTGGTTACAACAATCTGGAAAAAAATAAAAATATATTTATTGATTAAATAATAAGTCAGAAGTTGATTGATGTTTCATCAATATTTATCAATACATTATCTCTACTTATCTTCATCAGCTACAATTTAGTGTCATGACGACCTTTCGCAGGGCTGCTTTTACAGAGGTAAACAGAAAGAAACAAAAATTTTTTACAAGGATAATAACTTAAGTTCATGGGAACCTCTTGGCATAGGTCTTTCGTGGATTATCTGTAACAGCTGGGTCAACTGAATTAATTAAGCAATTTTTCAACATAAGATATTGCCTGACTTTACACGTGAATAAATCTCTTTTGATCATACCTCATCAATACAAGAATTCTCAAGCATTCTAGGGGCATCAGACGACAATAGACCATGAGTTGCCATGGCGTAGATTTTATACGCCCCACGTTCCTTCAACGCCTCGGCTATTTTCACAAACGAATCTACATCATCTATCATATCATCCTAGAAAAATAAACAAGGCATCAGAATTTTATAACCTAGGTAGGTTTATACCTACAAGGTCTCGGACAATTTGGGTAGAATTCTACAAATATTGACAGAGTTACAGCCCTTGATATACTCAAGCACATGGAAGTTTGATATAACAAACGTCTATGAGTTGAAGCAGCTATTACCAAACGTCAAATAATATGAACTAACATCATACTTAGATTCATATGACAAACTAATTCATTAGTTATGTTTCCTCTCTGAAAAAAGATGATAGTTAATATAATATATCTACTTACCACAATGATAGCTATTCTACCCCCGACGTCTCCTACTACATTGATAGGAGGTTTCTCTTTAGCATGTAATACTGAAATTATATCAATCTCTTAATTATTTTATTATGTTCCAGTCCTCTCTTGAGTCAATCTACAATGTTGTAAAGAGGAAAGGGGATGGTGTCCATGGGTTTTAGGTCCCTGCCCCAAGTTCTAATCTTTTTCATAATTAGGGGCATTTCAAAGAACAATATCAGACTTGTCTGCTGCTATAGCAGCATGGACCTCACCTGGCATCATGTCCAATCCACACTGTATCGTCCGACTGAGTAAATTATGTTCATCTTCCTCCATCAACGGAGGAGAATTTCTCCCATCATCTTCTTCTTGTTCCGAGACTTTCTCCTCTCCATGTATCACTGCTATTCCGAGTCGCAGTCGTTCAGCGTAGGACGACGCCCTCTTCACTGAGTTGGGATTTCTGGCAACTATCACTGCATTTCTATAATCAGGAATCTGGAATTTAAGGAAAATTTTACCAATTGGATCTTGCAAAAGGACAAAAAGTTAGGTTCTGCAGGAATCCTGAATATAAGCTGGTCCTTGGCCAATTAAAGCTATTTTCTTATTCAATGGACAGATAGAGCTAGCCTTTTTTTCATATTTTATGAGAGGTATATCTATGGGTTTGTTTTGAATGTACATTAACAAGTATTGGAGTAGTGGTAATCTGTTTCAAATATTAATAAATCAAGAAAAACCTACGGATTCTTTGATATAATCAATAAGAAATGGTGAGGCTCGTAGATTATCAACCGGTACGTCAAAAAACGCCTGAATTTCTTTCTGATGGAGATCCATGGTGATGATATGAGTAAAACCTGAAAATATACCAAATAAAACATTATTAGCTATGTGGACTCTCTGAAAGAGATGAAGAGTTGATAAACCTAAATACCAAATAAACATAATTAGCTATGTGGACTCTCTGAAAGAGATGCCCAATTGGCAAGTCTAAATACCATATCAGCCAGCTATGTGGACTCTCTGTGGAGTTTATGAAAGGATAGAGTAATCATTTTGTTTTATAAACTTCAATTGCAAGGTCACTAGCCCAATGTGCTGATGGTAGAAATATTGCAATCCATAATTACATATAAGTATTCCATTTTTCAGAATCTTATCACCAAAGCATTAAGTTTTGACTCTGTTGTAAAAATAAAAATATAACCAGTGAATCAGCATATACTCTCACCTTAAGATTGTACGTGATGCAGACCCAGACGATTAACTAAATAAGATCAAATCTGGCCAGTAGTTGAAGTGAATAATATAAATTCAAGATGTCTGACAAATTATAAAACAGCACCAACCTGATTGTCCTATCATGGTAGCAAGTAATTTACAGACTATAGCCCCACGTTTTCTCATCTTACTCTGTTTAGAGTAGGGTAAGTACGGTATTACTCCTACGATATTCCTTGCACAACTTGTCTTACAGGCGTACGCTATAATCATCATCTCCATTACATCGTTATTTATTTCTCTACAAAAATAGCGATGCCATCGAAATACGCCCACATTAGTAATGGCAGCGAATATGTCCAGGAGGTTGACAAGAGTTATCAGTAAATGAATATTTACGGACGGACAGACGGACAAACATATACGCCCACATTAATGTAGAATCGAATCTTTTGAGTGGCAGCAAGTGGCATATTTTTGTGTTAAGACGGACGGACGGACTGAACGGGAACGGGAACGGGAACAGGAACAGGAACAGGAACGGAACGGAACGGAACAGACCAGAACAGACAGACAGACAGACAGCTATATAAAACTACTGTAATTATTATCTAAGAGATGTCAACCAAATTACAATGATTAATCATTCCATGCCATAGTAACATAATTAGTTTTGATGACTTTTGCAAAAGGGTTGCCAGGTCTGAAAACAGCCCAATCAGCTGTTCAAACTTAGTCCAATATAATGAAAAAATCCAAAAAAAGTTGCGATAGCAATGTCACAAAATGTTTAGCTTCGATGGAATTGCAAGACTAACAGATGTCTGAGAGAAAATTGGAATAGTTTAAATCAATACTTCCATTGCCCCCGTTACACATAAAGTTCAGTAAACATCTTACCAGTCCTTATAAAAAATAGAAAACTTACTTGGTACCAGTTTGTATAATATAAACATCTTTTCCTCTTACTGATTCTTTTATTTCTACCACTGTTTCTAGAAACAGAATTAAATAAGTCTAGATAATCATAATTCTAGAACAGGCAAATAGACTCACTACAGAGAATAGTCACTTCCACTTAAAGTCACTTAAAGTCACTTAAAGCTACTACTACATATTTCTATAAAGAAAAAATAAATCACACGATAACGTGCAAACAGTAGGTAAAAAGTCGATACAATTAGAGTTAATATTTCTATTTAAGTATCTAAGTAATAAGTATTCATGTAAAGCGATTCTTAAACCGGCCAATCAACACTCTTCAACATTTTAAGGTTTGTTTTGTTCTTTATAAGTGTTTATAGTGAGACACTATTCTATAGATTGAGGGCAGTAATAATAATTTGAGTATGGGTATCATAGATGATCTGATTTATTAAAAATTACCATCTCATAGTAAGAAACCTCATATCTTAATTGGAAGAGGGAGTGATTTAAATAAGGTTGACTACAGGAAATTTATTAAATCATATGTTGATAAACTTTCATATCTAGAGAAATACAACTGTATCAAAACCAATGGAAATGAAATCAATAAGTATTATAATAAATAGTAAATCAACAGATGGAAAATAACTAAGTTAATTATAATACTGTCCAGGTTATTCATTTCCAAGATCTACTGGCTGTCAATTATTCAACTATCCTAGTCCAATCTATATCACGTATCGGATGTCACAGTCAAATAATTAGCTTATTGACTCTATACAATGCCGTTGTTAGGCTTTCCAAGCTTTGCACAACCCCTACTCACAAATTCCTTAAAATTTTACATAGGGCATGCCTGGAGAGGTGAGTCCCCCTTGACAATTCTGTGGCTTCTACTCGCCCCACCCCACCTAATGATTGATAGAAACACCACTTGCTGTATAGCCTATACAAACCTCTATTTTCTTTATGATAAGATGACATGTCTCCACATCTAACTCCCAGCCGTCTACAAACAAAAATAAACATTTTTAATAACATAATATTATTTTTAAATAGGTCTTCTATAAAATATGAGAGTCTAGCACTGATGAGTGATGAAGCCATTATTTCAATTAATCACTTCTCTTGCTTGACACTGTCACTGTAGCAATTCAGGCATAGATAGGGGGCAGTGCTTCTATACCAGATCATTGTAATACAAGTTCATTTGTAGGCAGATTCAATTATTCTTAATTGGAATAAAAAATTGTCCTAATTTCATATCTTGAATTAGAATGCCTAACAACAGCTATTGCGTTGGCAAATCTAAGACACCAAAATAAGCATGAAGAACAACAAACTCACTTAGCTACCAGATTGGCCAGCTCGGGATGCGAATTTCCTCCAAGGACAATCATTGGGCACTTCTGTCCAGCATACTGCACTGATGAACTCATTATGGCTGTCCTGTTTTATAACAGCCGAATTGTTCTATTACTAGATTTATGAGAAATGTCGAAAATTTGCGCAAATTAGCAGCAGAATGTCGTCCGACCTTGACATTGATAATATTTGGTAGGATCAGACGCGAGTATTGGATTCAGACAACAACTCAACAATTTCTTCTAGCGTTGTCCCACATTTCAGAGTAAAAATACTGTGCCTCGCTAGCAACATTGTCGGTCAGAATTGTGTTTTATCGAGCTAGCTGACTTTTCCTGGTTAGTTCGCTTAGAATGTATGCCTATTTGCGCCTTTCTCAATTAGATAAAAAATAAATATATCAACCCATTTCTTGATATTTGCATAAAACAATAAATATCTTCAAAAATTCAGATAAAATCAAGTTAGAACGGAAAATCTGAGATAATCTTGAATATTAATGAAAATTTAGCCTCGAAACATTTCCTCGCTTCATTGGATTGACGAATTAAACCTCGACTTAACGGTTGGTGTGAATTTCCAAAGTTTTACTTCACTTAAGCTACTCTGTAACATTTATAATTGAAGAAACCAAATTGTTTCTTCTGTTTCAGAACTCATCCCAAAACTTGATGCAGCGTTATAAATCTGCTTTTTTTTTTATCAGATGCGACTGAACTTCAAAGGCGAACAATATTATTGTGTAAAGTTTGACCAAAAAAAGTTTGTGGTGGGACAGACTTTAGACAGAAGACAAAAGGCATATCATACCTACCCTGAATAAAATTTTATTTTATTTCAAATAGAAATCGGTAGATAAAATTAAAAAAAATCAGATTTCTTACTTTTTAAACTTTGTTCGTGTTCATAACTTATGCGTATCTTGAAATATCTTTTGAGTTAACCATACTAGACAGTGAGATATCCTCTCAAAAATAACTCAAGTACACCAACCCTTAGAAAATTTGGAGTTCTTGGAAGCAAAGTCAAATATTGAAAATGATGAAAGTGGTATTATTACTTGGTCTATTGGCGGGAATGTTTTTCATGTCGTCTGCTGAACTCAATAAAGCTGAACTGATGGCAGAATTAAAGGAACTGACTCGGGAACTTAGCGTCAAGGCTCAAGGTAGGTTTACCCTTTGCTTTCTGTAAACCATCATGGATCCGTCAGATACCGAACCAAAAACAGATTAAAACCCGTTTTCAGTTTTCGAAACATTTGGCACTACCTTTGCTTGCTTTACAATTAAAACTCTTTACCAATGAAAGAAAACCCCCGGCTTATAGCTTGTATGCACATAAGAGGAAGTAACATAGGGCCTATATTTTTCATTACATGTGCAGAAACAACAGTAGGTGATCCGGAAATTATAGAGGTAGTTCCCGAAGCACCTGTTGCCGTTACTGAAGAACAAGAAGCAGAGGAGGTGAAAGTCAGTGCCTTAGAAAAACTGTTCTCAAAACTCGGCGGTGTTTTGGGAAAGAGATTGGAGAAGGCTGCTAAAAGATATGAGAAGAGGGCTAGAAAAGTCCGAAAAATCGCCCAAAGAATTTCTGAAGAATTGGATTTGACAGAAGAGGAGAACACTATAGAGGATCTGGCAACCCAGTTTGAAAATACAGCCGAATTTCTCCGTCAAGTAGCAGACGAAACAGAAATGTATTTTGATGGCGCAGACGAGAAGCTACAGGACATAATGTCTCGAGCACCATCCGGCCGTCATATTTCTCACCTGAAAAAAAAAGTCAAGGCAGCTAAAAAAGCCAACCGGTTACCTCCAGGAAAACAGGAACTATCAACAAATATAGTAGAAAATACAGACGGCGACTTCGTCGAGGGTAACACTGATGCCGACGGTGCAACGGATAACGCTGCAGAAGAAGCCGCAACTGAGAGCGTCGGAGTAGATACAGCACAGGGAAATACAGACGCAGATGCCGGCTCCAAACGATCCCTGGATTGGTTGGTAAATGAACTCAGGGCGGATTGATAGCCTTATCATTCTGTGAAACTTTTCAGAATATAACTTCTTTCAGACGCCATGTTGCTGTCCAAAATGTTTTGAATATAATTGTAATATGTCTTCCGAACTGATAATTGGAAATATAAATGAAAGAAATGAAATGAATGCAGTTTTACGTCCTACCTTTATGCTCCATTTGTGCAAACATAATTTGAAATAAAGTCCCAAATCTTAACACAATTTTGGGCAACCATGGACAGATTATAGGCCTAATGGTCGCAAGCTTCTGAAAGTCGTTCACATCCCGAGAGTATTAGCATTTGAATAGGAGTGGCAGACAATATATGATAAAATTTATTTCAAAATACAAACTCCCAAATCCCAAATTAATTCAAATACAAACTCCTATTCCCCCCAATACAAACTCCCAAACCGTAATCTATTTGAAAATATGAATTCCACGCTCTTCTCTCCCCTGAATACAAACTCCCAAACTCTGAAGCTCATATCCCAAACCCCCAATATGATATTAAATTATCATTAATGTTAATACATGTACATAATTAAATTCAACAAGAATCTTAATATCACAGTTATAATATGGACAGAATTTCATTTTACTGGTAATTTACATTATATACAATATATTATACATGATAGGACAATTACTGGTAGAATTACTTTACAATTTTTATTCAAATCATAAAGCTAAGCCTGATAATTTATCAATTCAATTAAATTCTAATTCAATATTTGGTGAAGTCTATAAACTCAATAAGAGAAACACTTCCTATGATGTGGAATATTCTTACTTTCTCAAGTCTTTAAACTGGAAAGATAACAAGCCGTCCTCATGAGGACTCTTAATACAAAATACCACCCGAGCTGTTAATTTGATATTAGGTGAAGTTAAAAAGTTCAAGGTCTTCAATAATCTCTAACCTCGAGTCCTAACATTTCTGTCTGGATGAAGTTTATCGCAATTAAATTTTAGTTTGATATTTAGCGAGGTGTAATTCCTGACGTAATCGATCAGCGTCAAGTTGTCTGAAATAGGCATCATCATCATCTCTGAATAACTGATCTTGATATCCCTGTATCTCTTTCTCCATTTTCTTTCTCAATTCTTTCTTCAGCTGATCCAACGCCTGGAAATTAAATAAAATGACATAAGCCTCTGTTTATGGTCACATCCAAACGACTTGAACTTCTCCATGTCAGCCCCTCAGACCTGCATTACTGACTTGGAAAAACGGGGTTGAAAAATCTCAACCTATTCTGGTATTGAACCCTGGACCTTCAGGTTAGTGAACGTCTAACTCACCAAGCCACCACAGCTCTCTCCAAACCATGGTAAGTTAAGAAAGGTTTGGGATGAGAATAGAAATTTCACAAAAGCACTGGCCCTGAATATAAAATTCTTAATTATATCTCAAACCTTTTGTTGAGCTTTTTCTCTGATTAATAAATCTTCTCGTTCCGAGGTGACCTTACTGGCCAACATTTCAAACTGGTCTCGATAGCTACAGGGGGGTTAAGGTATACAATATCTTCATTGTTAAAAATATTCAACCAATCACGGGTCTTATTCTCTAAAACTTAAGCTTAAGATGATTTCAGTGTTTCAGACATCACTAAATTTACGATCAGATTACTGCACAGATGTGCCAGATATGGTGTGACACACACACAAACATACACTGCATGTTATAGAATATACTGTATATAGCCATGGTACCAGTCCTGAAATCGATTAATCTATTGATATAACAGAATTATGTTAGATCATGGGATAACCAGCGTAGTAACCTGCCGATAAAAACTAAATGAATTTAAAAGGATACTAGTTCTCCATAGAATCAAGTTCATCCTGTCGAAGTTTAGCTTGCCGATTTCTCTGTTCTCTAGCATATTGTCTGATATCTTGTATCCTTTCTTTCTGTATCGACAGACCGTCTTGAAATAACTTCTTAAAGATCTACAAACAAAAAATACAGATACTCGAGTGATGCACAAAATCTACCTTTATCAGCCAATCAGGGGCCATAATATTAAAACATAAATCCAGATTTACGAGTTGCAGTAATCTGATTGGATATTAAAATTTAAAAATCGATATTAGCTATTGACCAATCAGATGACTGGACACAAAAATCATCTAAGTTCCTTACTGTTTTTCTTTAAATCTGGATTTTATCGTGGTTAAGGTTTTAAAAACATGACAGCAGTTTCCATTGACACAATCTGCTGCACAAATTAAGATTTAAAAGGACTTAAAATCCTGTTTCATTTCACTTGACAAATAAATCAATTTTCTTACCATTTCTTCTTTAGTTCTGCGTCTCAACAATTTGGATCTAGCTCTAACAGAATATTCGTTATAATATTTTCTAGCTCGTGCTGACTGCTGACGTTTCTCGTGAATTTTATTTTTAAACTGAATCTGTTGTTTCTTCTGTTCTTTAGCTTCCCGCTAAAAATAGTTCAAACTTTATAAAGGGAGTTTGCAGATTTTCAACGAAAAGTAAAAATTCCTAACAGTACAACAGTAATATACTACATATACATCTTTAAGAATTTAATGCTAGACAGATCAGACAAGTTTGATTGACAAGTTGAACAACAAATTATTATTTTTTGATTTCCAACTATTGAAGGATCTTAAAGGTTCACAACCTGTAGCAGACGGGGTCTTGGTTTATTTTCCCATCAGAACAATTAGATGCCTTTTCTATGCTAGAATCGACAGAAAAAGTAAATTTATCACTAACAGTATATAATTAACCTACCACTCTTTTCATACTGTCCATTTGTTTTTTAACTAATTTAGTCAACGTTTCGTGTCTTTTTACAGCTTCCTCTATCTATAATTTAAAAACATCAAACCACATAAAAACTTAATTAAATTGGTGAATATCAAATTGGCTTCATACTTTACGGCTGATAATGGAAAAGTAATGTCTCAAGTTGTCGGTCAAAATATCTTTACAATCCTGTAAATAATCTTCACCAACAATAATGTGTACAATGCAACTAAACTAACGAAAGACACCGATGACATTTTTGTATAAATGTTTTTATTTATTGCACACGACAGACACGAAAACATTTATTCAGAATTCAAACAAGTTTGATTTTCCATCAAATGTTTCTTGAGTACAATGTTTGGCGGACAAATTTCTGTCGTGTGTGTCTGGCTTTAGTGACTTCTAATGTAATTTTGACAACAAAACTGATTATAAAATATTTTTACCTGTGTCTGTCCTTTACTTTTCTTCCGTTTGGTATCTCGATAAGCCTTGGTGATATTTTCTATCTGAGTGAGGCCTTGTCTCATTAGTTCATGCCAAGTATTCTCTGACATGTGGAGGTAGGGAAACTCGTCCAGTAAAACAGGAAGTAGTTCATCTTCATCGTGGACTGTTACTGAAATTATAATAAAATATTAAGATCCCTCAACAGTTGGATAAATCGAAAAAGATGCATTGCCTGTCTTCATAAAAGCTAATAGTCTCTGACACCCAGTAGACTTGCATCCAATCAAAATCAATAGCCAATGTAGTCTTGGTCAATAAGCAAGAAATTGGTGTGTGATGTTCAAGGCCTTGTTTCATCACAGCTGGGCAGAGATGAGATAAAATGGAACTAGATAATAGAGACAAAACACTTACACATTGTTTTTCGTGGTAAAATACCAGAACTAGAAGTGCTACATTTTCTCACTTTCGTACTGACTGGTTTAGTCAGGGGGACCTTGTTTACACCAAGACCTAAAATAAGATAGATAGAACTAATATCTTTTAGAATATAGGAGAGGAGGTTGATTTATAATGTTGTTATACGAGTTAATTAAATGATTGGATTATTTTTATAAAAGTCTGTGATTTGTTGATAACTTTATAGTGTTTTACTAAACCTGTCTTCAGTTGTCATAACAACAACACATAAAGGTTTCAATACATACAATCTGTTTATTTTTATCAGTATTTATTACAAAAAATTACCTGATTTGGCTCTAGGTTTGGAAGAAGTTGAAGATTTTCTACCTGTTTTATTACCTACTCTCTTTCTGTATTGATTTTCCTACAAATAGAAAATACAACAGTTACATTGAACAGAAAACTCTGAACTGACAGAATTTAAAATAGTGATATATTAATTTGGAAAAACATTAATAAGTCTATCATGCCACAAAAATCAAATAGATTTCTGGAGACAGGAGGGTAAAATTATATTAAATAAAATTTGTGGAATGAATTCTCATTTTGTTAGATATACAAGAAAACTTACTGTTTCTATGACGATTTCTTTAGTTTGTTTTAAATCATTTTCAGCCTGATCACAATAATCATCATAATCTTCAGCGTAAACTTTCCTTATATACTGGAATAAATAAATATATAGATATATTCTCTGTATGAAATATCATGGAGTTATCTACTCTCACGTGTGAAAATCTTGATTTCCTACTGATTCTTTCCTTAAGGTGCCCTCAAACCATAGCAATCACTAGTTGTGTTTGGTTGTGAATAAGAATAGCAGTCAAAATTTACCAACGCAACTCTTATATAACTGAGTTGTGAGTTGTATTCAGAACTCATGATCACTATCATTATTTACAACCATACACTACTGGTAATCACTATGGTGTGAAAGCACAGAGTTTGATCTAGGACTACATGCCCTTTTTTTTATACCATCTAAAAAACCAATCTTTTCCTGTCAGTTTCTATTTCAAAATTTCCTACCTGTGTGACTTTATCGCCTTTCTTCGATTCTTTATTTATATTTTTTCTAGTTGCTGCCAGGGCTGTTTTTCCTGTTTTATTGAGAATTTTCTCAAAGCGAACTTGTTTATTAGCTGAAGGCTGATGTTTTTTAGTTTTTAATCTAACAGGCTCAGACTCAGTACTCAATGCTTCTTCTATTAGGTCATCAAATCTAGAAAAAGAAATGGGAAATGAAGTTTTGAATCTTGCTTTTCTTCACCAGTTTTCGATAATGCAATGAGGGAAATTTTGCCAGGACAGTTGTATAAGATTTCTTTATTTCAATTTCCAACTGTTAAGCTCACAGGGCTTCAGTTATCATCCGAACAAATATACACTTTTTTCATGTCAGCTCCTCTGAACTACATAACTGACAGGGGGAAACCGGGTTAAAAAATCTGAAGGGTTGAGAAGTGAAGGGTTCAAACTGAAACATCCCGCATATTTTCACTTGGAGAACTCACTGATTAGGGGTGAGAAGAATATGGTGACAGTCACTTCTGAAATACCTTACCTATGTTCAGCAAATTTATCACAATCAGACTCTGAATCTATTTCAGTACTATCATCAATATAGCTACCATATTTGGTCGTGGGTTGAACTGACTTCTGCTTACTGGATGTAGGTTGGCGGGAAACCTTCCCCTGTTTACGTTTCATCTCCAAACTGACATTGGGTGCACTGAAAAATATTAAAATATTCAATAATTAAATCTTCACATTCTGAATAATTTTGACAAAAACATCATAATTCCAGTTGATTTCAAGGTTGAATTTGGCAATGCTGAATATATATTTTATACGGATAACCACTTAGGTTCTTGAGCATTCTTTCTACCAACTCGTCCTTGACCAACCCTTTTGGCATTGATCTTTCTCAAGTACAGTTAATAATCTAAATGTATGGATATAGATATGAATAAGTTTATGCAAAGATATTAGAATAATCAGTACAAGTGTTTAATAAATAAAAGCTAGTTTGTGATGTAAATAATTTCAATTAGAATAAATAAAAAGAAAGTCTTACCCAGTTAAAGGTTGTTCGTATTTATCAGACCCGCTATCACTAGATCTATCTTCTTGAAACGAAACTTTACGTCTCATTTGATCTGGAGATTGCTGAAAAAGGTAAGGAGAAATTATACATTTTACATTTTTTTCATATATCGTTTTTTTAAGTGTCGTTGACGCGGACACAGGTGGGAAGGGCTCATGAGAAAAAGCACCTCGTCTTAAACTGAGGCCCAGTGTGTTATAGGTTGTACATGTTGATTCCTCGACATTTGCAAATCACAAGAGTACACTAAAACTGCTGTCCTGGCAAACTTTCCCTCATTGCAGACTGCCTGGCTTTAGTAACATTGTTATAGAAGACAGAGTTGATGTTATAACTTACAGTTGAGCTGTTAGAACTGATATTAACAGTACCCTGATACCTGGATGTTCCAGTCTTGTTGATATCTCTCACTATATCTCTATCATCAAGTACAGCAGATCTCGGTCTCGGATAACTTCTGAATTATAAATGTTTCAGGATATTCATATTTCAGTATAGTTCAGGTGATTCATCCTTGAGTATTAATAAATGATTTCATCAAAATCTGTCAAGAATTGTGCCTTTTAAAGTGCTTAGAAGCTAAGATTTGAACGCGTTTTAAGGAATTTGACCAATAGTTCATACTAAATATTTCTTAATTATTTTGATTTTCGATAGGGATCGCAAAATATTTAAATGAAATAAGTTTGCAAACCACTGACCTCTATCGCAGGGGAGTAAGTAAATAAGATGGATCTCTTTAATCTTCCATTCTGATTGGACAAACTGGATACTAACCTGTATCGAGGGGGAGTAAGTAAATAGGATGGGTCTCTATAATCCTCCATTCTGATTGGACTAGTACCTACAGCTGTTCTAGCCAATGTGGCTGTTGATTGGACCAGGTTTTGAAGATTATCGTAAGACGTAGCTAATCCTCGTAAATGAATATCACTATCGTCATTTTCCCTGAAATCAACAAAATTTTAGAATTTGGTTTAAGAAAAGGTTTTCATAGCCATTGTTGACAAAATAATCATACTCATTAGTTGTCTCGTCTTGTAGGACTGTCAGCTGTCATAAAATTTAAAACTGAGGCCGATTTCACTTATTCAACAAGACTGGAAACAGAGATACATTCCTGAAGCCAAAAAGTTTTAAATTTTAAGATGATTTTAGTGTTTCAATCAGATTTGTTATTTACTAAAATCTATTTTAAATGAAGTTTTAAATCTAATATGATTGCTGTATTTAATAATTTGAAACGAGTGAAAACAAAGCTAAAAGATTTCAATATACCTGAAATGTGAATTAAGAAGACTGCTATCATTATTTGGTTGTTGTCTGTAGTCTGTTATACCAACAGTAGCTCTGAATCTACCAGGAGGTGCTGGCTGGGGATTCAATTTTACTGGTAAGGAGGCTGACATGGACGAGTCTAAAATATAAAGATTTCATCATCAGATGAGAGGCTACTCAAATATTATGAAAATGATCATATGGATAATGACTGTTAGATTTTTAATATTTGATTTATTTTATTACAATTTATGAAATGAGTTTTTATCAAATAAATAAATGAAATAGAGCAATATAAAATGATATTTTTACATCTTATTTGTTTTATCAGAGAATATGATAACAGAAAATGACATGAAATTATTTCAAAATGAAACAGAAATTTAACTAATTAGTTAAAATATCCAGTGGTTAGTTTTGCTGAAAAATAAGTTCTAATTAGTTTTTTTAACAAAAAGCCTGGCACAAGGATGTAGAGTTAGTGTAGTGATTTAAACAGGTGTAAAACAAACAGGCTGACGAATGGCCATAAAAACTTTGACTTATAGTGTTGTTTAATAATGAAATCATTTTGATTAATTAATTTAATTTATCACATGTTAGTGTTATTGAAAAAGTAACGAATAAAATTACGAGAGATTAATCAAACTTTAACGAGTCAACTAACCGTTATTTTTGGGTATTTTACGTAAGATACCAGTCTGAGGTTTAGAAGCAGTTGGTTGAGATGATGATCTATTGAGACGTGAGGGATGATGATCTAGATCTAAATACCGGCCAGAGAGACACGGTCCTACAGAACTACCCACAGTTTGATGAGGTACTACAGAAATATTAACATTATTTAGAAAGACCGGTTTGATTATCACACAGAAAAATAGGCACAGTGAAATATTTAAAGCTAGATTTAATATGTTATATAGCTGATTATATCACTGTAAGATAGTTCCAATATCATTAATGATTATAGTAATATAAATGAAAGCAAATATCAATAAGAGAAGAGATGAGATCAGTGCGAAACGAAATAAAGAGCACTAATTAACTCACTCAGAAAGGAAAAGTATAAAAAAAAATCTAACTAATAATTGCAAAGAAATTAAAACACCAACAAAACTCTTCAGGCACAGTAAGCTTCAATCAAGTCAAACTCAGTCCCTTTCTAAACAAAGATAGTTGACTATTGAAATAACTTGCACAATAAAACAATAAAACAATGATCCCAACTCTTACCGTTAGAAAGATCTTGATTGGTATAATGATGGTAGAGATGATGAGTAAATGTGTGATGAATATCAGAATTCGAGCTCTTCATCTCGTCATTTTGATACAGTCCAACTCTAGACTGAGGCACACCGACAACACCGGAGCGTCCTGGGTCTAAATATTTAGATGCTGGTAAATGCTCTGATACTTTCGGTTTAGTTTTATATGTTCCACGATCAGAAATTCTTGTTCTACCCGCATCTTGCCGAACAGTTCGGACGGAATCTCTGGTTGTTCCGAAGTTGTTTGATGGATCGGAAGGTCTCGTTCTTGAATATTTTTCTTTCTGTACAGGAGATTTTAGAATTTGTTCTGTCAGTGGTGGAGATGATTTTCCATTCTGCTTAGATTTTGGTGATATTTGAGATTTCTGTGTTTTGCCATTTTTGTTTGCCGGGCTTCTTCTTCCAATTTGATCAAATTCATTTGGACTTCTTGTTCCCTGTTTAAAAATCAGATTTAAGATAGAAGACTATGTACTAATTTGAAATTAATGCAACCTGGCATTTAGAAAATTATAACGAACTGAAAATAATTTGAGTTGTCACTGATCACAAATCCAAGATGGATGCTATTTACCAGTGAGCATATTCTGACAATATGAAAATTAATCCTTAGATTTGGTTTGAAAGTGAAGATTTAATTTCATATATTGAACTGAGCACAGAAAGCTCAATTTAATTTAACTAAGATAATTGACAAATGAGTTTATATCCTTAACGACAACAAATTTAATATCACAAACCTTGTTATTTTGTTGTAATTTGGCCTCCCATTTTTCACCTTCTCTTATCAACTCTCCTGTCGAGTCCAGTCCAGGACCTAGAAATAACACGGGGAGTTAATATACAGATTACAATTCTAAACAACAGACACAAGACGGGTTCTCACCTTGGTCACCGTGTGAAATTCTGGTGGCCATCTTTCCCTTTCCTATTTCAGTCAACGCAGCTGTTTTGGCCAAAGACCAGCTAGTAGACAGGATTCTTGTAAACATATAGTTACTTTCTTTCTATATTTCCCTAAACAGCTGTCTGTTACAACAGTATCTTATTTCAAATAGATCACAAGTTCAACTCTAGCTATTTAAAAGCAAGTTTCTATAAATGTCCCAGACCAAACAATAGGATCTGTTTAATTTTTCATCCCCTTCTTACATATTAAGCAAATAAATTCAAGTTCCTTTCACCTTAAAATAATAAAAAAAATATACAATTTAAAGATCTTACTTCTCTCAATTGTATTTTGTAAATAATTGTTGATGTATTCTGTTTTACTTCTAGTAGTAGGTGACATAGATCTTCTATAAAAACAACATAGAAAGTTAATAACAGGAATATTAAAGGCACTGGCCCTGGATGGAATAACAATTTGTCTTACCATGAGGAGAATTCGAACTTAACATTAAATTTTTCCCTCTCTTTAACCCCAATATTATGAAGTATGGTTTATAAAATATACATTTGTCAGCATCATGAAATTGTGTGACTTGCATAGAAATATTTGTGTTTGTAAAGCACCATTGAATGCTCATATTAGAGCAGTACCAAGTTCAATCATCTTAATCTTACTCGATAAAATATGCCTGTGTGAAATCAAAGTGAGTTAATATAAGTCTGATTGTCTTACAAGAATTCTAATTTCAATTTTACCTTTTCTCTTCAGATCTATCATATTTTTTTTGTAATTCATCGTTAAGAATATCGTCAATAACTCTAGGTGTCACAAGGTCAGGGTCATCCCGAGTATTAAAACTTTCACTGACACTCTCTATTTCTGAAATAAATTGTAAATCGCGATCAGGGCAAAATTTAAAAAATAGACATAAAAAAACAAGATATGATCTCAACCCCAAAAGGCTTAACCATATGTTTGAAAGAAAAATACGAATTATCAAATTGCATACACAATTTTTTTTTACTGATTTTGAGCCCTATCACAATAAACAGTATTCTGGAACCTTACCTCCATAGTCAGAAGCATCTGTTTCAATCCTGGTAAGAATATACTCTGATAATCCCTGGAATATCTCCACCAGGTGGGCTATATCTTCTCTAGCATGGTTTATAATCTCTACAGCTCGAATGTGAGACAGGGAAATATGAAGAACATCTTTCGACAATGAGTCTATCACTGTTTGACAGTTGTGAATCTCATCTTCTCTTGTTACTGGCTTTCTTACAATTCCTGGAATCAATGAATGAGCAAGTGAATGAATTAACAAATGATTGAGTGAATGAGAAAGTGAAGATATGGATGAATGAATGAATGAATGAATGAATGAATGAATGAATGAATGAATGAATGAATGAATGAATGAATGAATGAATGAATGAATAACTATGGTAATCAAATTGATAATGAATGTGATGAATTAATCAAAGAAAAAAAAACAGCAGAAAACACTAAAAACATGTTGCTCTATGGCGGTTATTATGAAGATGAAAATCCTAACCTGGTAACTGTTCTCCATATAACCCTTCGTACAGAGTAACAAAAACTGTAGCACCGATATCTTCAACATTAATAACTTTTATTGGTATATTAAACTGGTGTAGTAACAAATTACACGTATCTATCAATTCTAAAACAAAAAACAAAGACAGTAATCTTTAGAAAAAATAGCCAACAAACAAAATACAAAGACAGTAATCTTTAGAAAGAATAGCCAACAAACAAAATACAAAGACAGTAATCTTTAGAAAAAAAATAGCCAACAAACCAATTTTTCTCATCTTTAAGTTATTTTTCTATTATTATGAGCGTCAACTCTTGTTTTGGGACATTGTGGAAGAATAACAGTGTGGCAATTAAGCTAATAGATAAGTTATTTTCATCAAGCAAGCAATGTAATTATTTTCAAAGGATATGGGGTTCCTTACAAAGTGTAAAGCAGAGTACCCTGGTACTAACTAACCTTTATCATAATCAGACAAATCATCAATAGGAACCATGATCTGAAAAAACAAGACAAGCAAAATACAAAATAACAAAACCCATCTGATTAAATGACACGAATGAATCAGATTGTTTCTTAATTTACCGTAGCCATAGACCTCAGAATTAACTGTTCGATCAGCCACAATCTATCTCCATGCCTAATAAAATATTCCACTGCTTAATAAACAACCAGTGCAGAATGTGCTCACTGAAGCTGGGAGTGATCAAGAGTGAGAATTATAGTATAGTCTATATCATATCATTAGATCTTAATACTGTATCAATTCATCACTCAAATCTCATAGTCAACAGTGACAGAAACTAAAATTGGCCCCTCTCTCTCTCAGTCTCTGTCTGTCTCACACGAAAGAAATGGCCCATTGGCTTGGCCTTGGATAAAGCTCTTTTCAGTTGTGATTATGGAATGCCTAAGCAAAGCAGTCAAGTGGAACCAATGCCAAATAATCACATAACTAAATGCCAAATGTCCTCGATGACATATGACATAACAGTCCTAAGACAACTCGGACAACACTGGCTGAATGTGTCCCAGCATGTCGAGGATTTTGCCATCAAAACAATCAAACTTTTTAGAGTTCAGAGAAAAGACTACTTCAGCGTCCTTTCGCCTTGGCTTTACCAAAGTGCAGACGTTCAAGCCACTCTGTTGGGATAGTGGAAAATCCTCAACGATAATTTAATTCAAAGTCTTAAAAAAAAAAAAATTCTGAAACATTACCGCTTTGATTTGTGTACATTTCCTGTGGAGACAATTTCTGTCTATATTCTGATTGGTTCTTCTAAAAATATCAACCAATCATCAGTGATGAATAGAGTTCAGTCCCTTGATTTAAAGAGGGTCTTAGACGTCAAAATGGCTTCACAATTGTCACAATTTGCAAAATAATTTAGAATTTTTAGGAAATGTCGAATTTTTTTTTATTTTCAAATGATAAAATACTGAAATAATCCCATGTTTCAATCATGAATGTCTTTTGTTTTAGCAATAACTTATTCAGGTTTTTGGTGTATTTTGGAAAAATTCAATAGGCTCTCTTTAACCAAGGGAAGTAATCGATATTATAGTCAATAGATGGCGATACTTTCACTATGCTGAAAGCTATTTGTTGATTGGTGGAAATTTTAAGCTCAACCAATCACTGCTTTTCATTCAGATGTTGTCAAATAACATTTTTAGCTTGAAGACGGCGGCAACTCCCAAATTTTTGTCAAAAAAAGTTTAAATATTGCATTCAGGAGGCAGGTAAAATATCAAAAGTTTCTAAAAATCACAGTTGGATAACTGGTTTGAATCTTAGTCACAATATTCAGGCTCAAAATAGCTGAAAAGGTTTAAAATCTGCCAAGTGAAATTGTTGTTACTTTGTAAACAAGAAATCGAAAGTAGAAAACATGTACAAACCTATCATTTTGAACTGTCAATGTTGATTGTGGTGCTTAAGGTATTCATTCTTTTTGTTGGTATTATGACATATCTCAGTAGGTTTGGAGAGGCTGAAGACAAAGAGCAGAGAATTTCAACATGCACTGATCCATTGTGGTTGGTATGAACTAAACAGGCCTAGTTACATTATTAGGTTATTGACTTCTAGTTCTAGGTCAGAATAGACACTTGTAGTTATTTTTATTAAATCTTTTCCTTACTTTCAGATAGATATTTTTGGTTGAAAGAGGATTAGGAATTTTCTTGTCTGAGTGTTAAGACCAAACAAATAAGTCAGATCAAGATGAAGGGCAAGGAAGCTCGTTACAGAATCAGTCCCAATGAGGAAGAAAGACTTCTCAAGGAAGAAACTGAAAAAAGACGCAAGTTACGCTTGATACAGGTTCGCGAACAGGCGAAACAAAGTGCTAAATCGATACGCGAGGATGTGCGTCGAGAAAAAGAAAAACAATTAATGAGATTGGCTAAAAGCATTGAAAGTGATCTGGAGAGACAGAAGCAAGAAAAAGTGTATGAACTTCAAGAACAGTACGAGAACACCCTTAAAAACATCGGTCAAGGTCACAAAGACGCTCAGGAACACGAGGACGGCAGTTTTGAACGTCTGAAACGAAAACTTGAGGCTCAAGAAGCTGCCACCAGACGACACATGAAAGCTTTAGAAAAACTAAAAAATGAAAAAGTGTTAAAGGCCTTGAAAGAAAATCAAACCATTATTGCAAGAAAAGGTGCTTTAGAGATAGAGAAGGCTCGTGCAGCTGAGATCGCAGCCTTGCCCTTGCCTCCTCCTGACCCCGTAGAGGCTGTAGTTCAAGGTCACAAACCAGTGCTCATGACAGACATGAATGCCTTCTCCAGTACACATTATCATATGTCAAATTTCGCTGCAGTCAAGGCCAATCCAGAAGAACAGGAAAACGCAAAACTCATTGCAGAAGACGAAGACTACAGAATTCAGGAGGCAGTCAAAGAAAGGGATAGATTGGCTATCGAACAAGCGGCTCGGGCCAGGATTCGTGGATCCTCCGCATTACGTAAGGAACATTTAAAACACGAATATGCTGCATTAGTAGAAGATTTGAGTTTGTTACAGCGCGCTGACAGACGTAGGCGACAAGAAATAGTCGCTGACTTGCCAAAACAAGTTTTTATCCCTCCAGATCGTAGACTCGTTGAAAAAAATCAGGATCAGAAAAATATGGAGAAACATTTTGAAGATTTATATCTGGATGGACTGGACAAGGGAGACAACTTATTAATGTCCTTAGTTCCAGAGCCAGTTCCTGATTCGCCACGATCTTCACACCTTCTTGATCTATCCGCTCAAAACACACCTGAAAAATTACCAAAACCACAAAATACAAACTCGCTAGATTCACATTCTACAATTACAGACGAGGATGATTCTAAACTTCACGAGAAAAGAGAAACGGTTTTGCGCAAACTTTTAAATCGTATTCACGAACAGCGTGATTCTCATGTCTCTAGATCCAAACTCGAAGCATCACATCTGGAAATTTCTAAACCGAGTACAGGTAGTTTCAAGAAAAAGGATGTGAACTCAACGCCACCTCAGAGAGGTTTTGATGTGGAATTTTATCAGGCCATGTGGGAAGACTGCTCTGATGAATGAATGAAACAGAATCGTGTGTCCGTGTTATGAATGAATAAAATCGCTGGTCAGTTTAAAAGTTAAGTTGATTTCGGGCTTTGTAAATAAAATGTGGCTTCACATTTATAGATAAAGAGAGTGCCAAATTGATGCTTTCTTTGCAATCATTGAAGTATAATAATTTGTGTGGATTTTTATTAATAAAAGCTAACTCACCAGGCCTGTGTACTGGAGTATTAGGATCTAATTTTGTCGTAGGTGTGATTATTTGTGAAACTGGAAGCCTTGCATCTAAGACAGTGGATCTTGATATTTATATAATGATATTATATTATGGATATAAACAGCAGGAAATATTTGATAAATGGTTGAATTGAATATATTAAGCTAAAAATTTATATCTCAATTAGCTATGGCTTGATAAGTAAATTGAGCCAATTTTTGCTCTCTCTATATTTTGACCGTTTTTAGTAAAAGCTAAAAATTATGAAAATGAAATTGTACATATTTTTATTGTATAACAAAAGTATTTGAAAAAAAAATGATTTTAACAAAATTTGCCTTTGATTTGAGTCTTCATACCTGAGTATATTCCAATTGTTACTTTGCTGATGTGTGCAGGTTAAAACATCAGAAGAAATTATTGAATAGAAAACAGTGAAGGATTATTGATACAGAAATGAAATGAAATGAATGGAGTTTTACGTCTTACTCTTCTGCACCCTTTGGGCTAATGAAGACGGGCAACGCCATGCAGGGTGCCATGAGGGAAATTTTGCCAGGACAGAGGCATTAGCCTGCTCTTTTTCGATTTCCAACTGTCGAGGAATCTTTAACGTGCACAGTCTGTAGCAGATGGGGCCTCAGTTTATTGTCCCGAACGACTAGACGCTTTTTCCATGTCTATTTGCTACTGTATCAATCATCCTGCACCGGACTCTGTACCTCTATTCGTGGCTTTAGACCCCCATTTCCAGCCTAGTATTACTGATGAAAATTTTATATGTGTGCAACATGATGAGGTGAACTCAATTGAAATAACAAGGTTATACCTTAGAATGTAAGCTAATCACAAACTTTTCAAGATCTCTTAATCATTTAAATTAATGTCACAGCCCTTCTCTTTGATAATGAACTCTAGCACTCCAGATCCCCTCCCATCCAACCTGTAGCCAAAGTAACACCATCAGATTTTTTGCAATTTTGAAACCAAAATCAGTCTAAAATTTAACACTAAATATTATTTGATTACAAAGTTTGGATCTCGTGTTGTTAAAAATAGATATATTCTTCTAGACATCTCCTTGCCAACACGTCTGTTAGTTGCTAGGACACCACCACCACGTCTGACCTGAAATTAAAATAGAATAACTCCAATATCCTTGAGGTATTCCCACTGTAAGAAATATGGGGGTGAGGGGGGACTATAAACTATAATGTTCAGTGATCTACAGGTTGTGTGCATTAAACATTCTTTGAGAGTTGGAACTCAAATGGACGTCAAACAGCAATTTTCGCGTTTCATTTCAATAACTGAAATTGAGAAGGATAATCCACCAAAACATTTTTGATAGGGAGCCTTTAACTCCATCGAAAAATTAAGGAACTTCTTTAAATAAAGATTATTAAAAACGTACCATGATATTTTCTAATAATTTCTCTTTCTCTTTTTCACCGTTACACTGATTATACCCCTGTAAAATAAAATATTATTGGTGTCATAGCCGCGCGTCTCACCACGGTCTAAACCCAGCTCACGTTCCCTGTTGGTGGGTGAACAATCCAACCCATAATGACCCTTAAAACATTTCCCTTAATTTACCTGTAACAATAGACTGGGTGAGGGGTTAACACCCAAAATACAATCTACCATGTCCTCTCCCCCTCAGATACCCTTTTTTTGACCTTGACCCTCAATTTACCTGTAACAATAGACTGGGTGAGGGGTTAACACCCAAAATACAATCTACCATGTCCTCTCCCCCTCAGATACCCTTTTTTTGACCTTGACCCTCAATTTACCTGTAACAATAGACTAGGAGAGGGGTTAACACCAAAAATAACATCGACCATGTCCCCTTCCCCACCGATACCCACCCTATAATTCTGATGCCTGTGACAGTGCTTCCGATAGTCGGCCTGGTTATCACGGATTGCCACAATCTCATAGACTTTAATGTAACATAACATTACGTTGTAACATAACTAAAGGAACGTAATTGCATGTGACATCAGTTATTACGTTATATTGTTTGTACTTAATGTCTTCTAGTAAAAGTAAAGATAGTTCTTTAAATCAACATTTTATCATTTACACAACAACAAAGTCCTAACCAACTAAACATAAACACTGGTGTCACCCTAATATCTAAATTTACCTGTAATAATAAACTAGGTGACGGGTAAACACCCAAAATAGCATCTGCCATATCTGGTCCTAGGTTTTTAAACTGCATCAGCTGATGTTTAAATACTTTCAGTAAACCCTGACCATTTTTATCGACCTTCACCCCTGCTGTTCCTTCTTCCAGGAAGTTAAAAACATTTTCCAGGCGAAAAATATTTAAAATTACATAAATGGAGTGAAATGGAGTTGTCTTGTCCTTATTTTTACTGTCACTGGTTAGGCTCATTTGAACAGACAAGGGCCTAAAATTCAATTTACAAATTTTGTAATGGAGAATGTTAAAGACTCTCCTATAGAAGACCAAGGTCACAAGAAGAGAAAATACTTCTTGTAAAAACCTCAAAGTAGAAATTAGAGAGTAAAACATTAGCACACACAGCTAAAATCTAAAATATCTACTTACTTGGCAGGTTTTTCAGCTACAGCTTTAGTAAAAGTTTTGATTAAATCTGCTATTTGTTGATTTGTGTCCAGATATTTTACAATCAAACCTGTTAATAACTGAGTTTCTATTATCGTCTAAAATAGATTATGGTGATGGAAAATTAAATGTATTTAACTAATTTGTTGCAAGGTGTAAAAAAGCTTGAAAACTAGGGCAAGGTGTTTAAAAACCTAACACAATGACTAATGACCTTGTCAATACTAGAACAGTACTATCATTAACCATCAAAAAGAATAATTTGGCCCATAATAATGCTTTTTAGAACAAATCTATAAAATTTGGTGCCAACAGAAATAAAAAATTCTACAAATTAACTACTTCTTCTAATTCAATCTGTGTAATCACAGTATCCACAGCCATTTTTCTTTTCTTTACTTTTCCTCCCTCCATTCCTGTTTCTAACACAGCTTCTTTATGTTTCTGTTTTTTTATCAGTTTTAAATCACTGAAATAATCATGAAATAAAAATCAGTTTTCTTCTTCTCGACAACTTTATTTCATATTACAGTGAAACCCTGCTAAACTGTCTCTCATCAGACTACGAGAAAATGTCAGATTACTATGTGTGTCGGTTTAGAAGGGTTTCACTGTATTTCATACAAAATCATTGACAAAATACTAAACTTATATCTAAGATAGATGGAGGCTCAATCTGATTTTAATATTTAATGAGTCTAAAGTATTAAAAACAATTCACCTGAAATATTTATCGAGTCCATGAACAAAGAAAGTAAAGAAATGGTTGGAAAAGGAACATTGTAAACTCTGGACAAACTCTGTAAATGTGATACCAGCTGAACTATCTCCTCTCTGTTTCTAAAAATATAATATTACATTTATTATAAATCATTTCAGTACTTAATCTCTCAGCTTGTTTAATATTTCTATTATTACTATAACACAGTCAGTTAGAGCGTTGGTTCTTTACAGGCTTGAATACCTCAAGCAAATGGTGACTGTAGGTTCTAATCTCAGTCGGCGTGTGAAAGTTTGATGACCTTGAATTAGTCATCTGTACTCATAATTCCAGTCGACACAAATAAGTACAGATAATCAGGAAAAGATCAATGCCAAGAGGTAATTAATCCTAAATTATGAATGTAACTTGTTATCCTTGTAAAATATAGTTTAAGATATGGTTGAAGGTTGTCATGAATATGGTAATAAGCTTTAACCAAGAATTTCATATCACAATTCTCTGGTTTAAATAAATTGTAAGAGGAGGTATTATGAATGAATACCTGACAATAAGCTTTCACCATGGATATAAAATCATTGATTATAGAATACAGGGGGATGTTTTAAGAGTTATTATGAATGTCTACCTGAGAATAAGCTTTCACCATGGATATAAAATCTGGTAATGGAATCATAATAATAATATCTTCTTCTTGTATCTGTTTAACTCTTCCACTCAGCTAAATAAAATAAAACAAAGATTTAATTAATTGTTTCAATAGGTTTATAGTTAAAACAATACCACTGAACCAGTGCTTTTATGACTTTATAATTCTAGTCAGAATCATTCAATGTTTAAAAAATGTCCCCTTATCAATAAATAAATGAGACTGTGATTCACTTTATCTAAATATATAGTTATATATTTAACCAATCTTTCTTCTAAGGTTTGATCATTGTAATATAAAACCCAAGAGTTTCATGCATGTGTTCATTTATACAAAACAAAATAATGTAAGCTTACATAAAGGTGTTTTGAGTAGTTTGAAAACCACATGACATCATGAATATTTATTACATTTGTCTCTAATAGGTCGTCTACCAGCTATAGTAAGGATAGTGGACCACAGCCATATACGCCCACCACGGCATGCGGATGGTAAAAACGAAACATCCATTTTAAGTTTCATCAAAATCGGTTGAAAACTAAGAGAGTAATAGCATATTCAAGATTTTGGGGCAAGGGCAATAACTCTGCTTCTAACAGTCGAAAATAGCACAAACTCGAACTTGATCTTCGTTTTATGAATATGTATACATATAGAGATGTGGGCATATAAAAACAGACTTTGATTTTGATTCACAGATTTGACCGATCTATTTGTTAAATTAACTTTTAAAAACAACTTACATTATCTGGTGTACATTCAATAACTTCCCGTTTCCACAGAACAGAGTTGGGTATAGATTGAGGTAATGTTTCACACTTCACTCCCAGATCTTCACACAGTTTAAATATCAACCCTCCAACACCACCTGTATTTAATATACCTGGATCAATGCTTACGGTGATTTTCTAAAAAATTAAACATGAAAGAGAAAAATGAAACTATCTAGTTTTAAGTAATGGTGGAAAATTTTAAAATTTGATTGTTTTTGTAAAAATCATACAGCAAATCAATTGTTAAACACTGGGAAGAAAGGGTTTATTCATAATATTTTAATGATGTAGGCATATCCCCTACTGTATTAACCTCACCTAAAAGCTTGGCAAATAATACTAAAGAAGTCAAATGATATATATTATCTAACTCATATCTATTAAATTAACAACAATTTGAAATGTCTTGTTCTAACCTTCAAACAATCTCCTGGTCTAAAAGCCTTTTTATTTTCTGATTCCACTTTTCTCAGCTGAGCCTCTCGTTCTTTCTGAGCTTTTTTCTCCTCTTTTTCTCTCATCTTCTCTTCTTTCTTTAACTGAAATTTATCATTAATTCAAGCAATGTTAACGATTTAGTCCAACTGATTTGAAACCATCACAATGTCATGAACGAAACCACATAAAATTCAGCCTATACATAGTCTATAACTAGCTACTCATATACAGAATGAAATGTACACAAATATCATTGACCTACTCATCTCACAAAATAATCAAAATATACCTACCATGGCTTGTCGTTTACTTTCAGCAATATCTTCTGGGGTTCTTTTTTTCTTCCCCTTTTTACTTCCGGCTAAAACATCACTGAGTTCTGACATGTTCGACACTGTAGAGCGTTCGCTGTTCACAGTTGAAGTCGTTGAATCATAGTCTGGAGGTTCGCTGGCGTTACTATCTAAATCACTAAGCACTGGCCTTGACTTCAGTTTAAATCGTTCAGCCAGACAGGGAAGGTCAAGGTCAGGCAGGTCAAGGTCGGGTAGTTCGTCCTCACCGGAATCCGAAGAGAAGCAAGTATCAGTATCAAGTTTGACATAATTCTGAGTTGGGTATGAACCAATGTCTAAATTCTCATCATCGGAATTCATTTTGATTTTTTCATCAAGTGTAACTATTTCTGTATCATGTAGGAAAAAACTTGACACAACACTTGCAGATTTTGCTATGCTGGCACTTACATTCACAGCTGAAACTGAGCTCTTTTCATCAAACGTAATTATGTCTGAGTTCTGTTTGGAAAAAGTAGAAACAGTACTTGTAGATTTTGTAACACTGGGGTTTGGATTCGAAGCTAAATTTGAGCTCTTGAGTATGGAAATATTTTCATTTACATTTGAAACTGAACATGAGAGAGCTACCTCTGATGTCTTTTCAGTTTTTGAGAGCACACAATAAGAATTTGAAGTTTCAATATCTAAATCTGGTAGCTCTGTGTCACTATCACTGTCAAAAGCACAAATTTTTTCAACGCTCAGTTTTAAAGATTTGACTTGTGTGTTCTTAATGACAGTTGAAGTTGCCGATCTAGAAGGTATTATGGGTAATTCTAACGAGCTATCACTGTTGATGTCAGTTGATGACAATTCTTCTCCTGTTGCTGTTAAATTCTGAAAAACAAACATGTTGTGATGAGAGTGTAATCAATTATAAATTTAAATACGAGAGGATAGTTTAATATTGGTAGTACTGTTGCCAACTGATGCGTCTGGCAATGAACTTTCTTTTCTGGGTTGCCGAGATGTAAAGTTTAGATGACGTATAAGCTTACATGATGGATTGATGGTTGGGATCAAAATGATTTTTGCCTAAGTTAGTTAGGCAAACAGGGAATTGTGGCATTCAATTGCATAGCCCTTTGTTTTATAAAGTTTGGGGATGATTATTCAAGATGCCTGGTAAAGGAATGAAGAGTTGACCAGAGACTTAAAAAATGAAAGTAGAGATAGAATTTTACCGTTCCATCTAAAATTCTGTTAATCGTCTGCTCAGCATTTCCAGTTAAAGTGATATCTAGTTTCACTGAACGAAGGTCAATATCGGGGCAGACGGCCAGAACTTGTGAGATGCTCTCATTTAGAACATCGTTCACTTTTAATGTTGACATTTTCTCTTTCCAATGTTTTGATTTTGCCTCCAAACCGAACAACATTCATGATTACATCCGCCAGTTGAAAATATAATTTAGCAATTTTCATGGGATTGTGAATATCTTTTTAACAGAATTTCAACGAACGATATTTTTGCAATATTCCCAGACAACAAAATGTTTGTTGTTTCTCTTGTAGAAAAAAAAATCGTCAAATCTTGCAGAACTATTTCGTAAATAGTTCGACCTTGACTGCGTAATGATATAGTTCCAAGATGGCAGCCTCCATGTTAAAAAATATTTTCTCACAAACATCGAATTTTATTGCAAAACAAGGTTTGACTTATTCCTGATTTTTAAAAAATCTTGAAAGATAAGAGTTGACGAACTCATTCTGATTTTTTGCCCATAAGTGATATTAAACAATGTTAACAGAACTGAAAATTGCAGTTTTCAATGTTAAGTCAACTTCAGACAGAGTTGCCTCCCTTGTCCTGGAGTAGTTGACTTTCATAAGAAATCCTTCAATGGCACTTTAGAAGCACAAGTTATGGCCTAGTTAAATATAGCAAATGTATGGATAGATACTTCTCTAGCATCTATCCATAAAATTGTCTTAATAATCTAGAAGTATCTATCCATAGAATTGAAAGCCACATACCCTGGGCATACCCTAAGACTTGTGTTTAATTTACAATTCATAATTATTATAATATAAATTTCCCTTTTAAATACTTTCAAAACATTTAAATACGAAGTTAATCTTCTTTCTCATTGACTGAAATTCTCCTTCAGTCTTCAGATAGGCTACCCACTTTTAAGTTTTTGATGGGTGATATATTTCTTCAAAATAGATGTTTTGAATCAATACGTATTAGTCTCAGACATCTTTATTTTTCAGTGTACAATCCAATCGCTGCTGCAGGCCAATTGAGATTTGCTAAACGCAAGTCTATGTCAGTCAGTAAGAACACCCGTGGTAAAGCTCGAGGTAAAGGTTATGGCTGGAAGAAACAAGATGGAGATTTTGTTCATGCTGGAGAAATTCTAGTCAAACAGAGAGGACTGAGATATTATCCTGGAGAAAATGTAAAATGATATTTTACTTCTTTGCTTTTTCTTTTACACTGTTCAACTATCATAGAGATTGGTTAAACCAAATCTACAGGCCCCTGTCTGTAAGGGGGCTATCACCCCAGAAAAATTATTAACAGACATTGAATTGACTTACAGAGGGGTCTCGGAATGCAGGAGAGGGTTTGTTCTGTGCCTGAGGGAGGGGACCCTAACCTACTTAAGTGCCTCTCTTCTTGTCGGTTTTAATCAACTGATATTATTGATTTTATTTTCTCTTAATTAAGCATACCAATATTAGCCTCATGGAACTGGGCATAAATGGGCAAGCCCCCTATGGCAAATGCAATAAACATAACAGAGAATATTACAAAATATTTTTTCTCAATTTCAGGTGAAACTACAGAAATACAAATCTTTAGAGGCGATGTGTGATGGTGTTGTCATGATAACAAGTGAAAAATTATCTCCCTTACCTAATTCACCGTTACACGACATCGTACAGAGTGGGACTGTTATTAATAAAAAATTCTATCATGTTTATAGAACTCCATTACACGCAAAATTCAAATTAGTGGATGAGGTTTGAGTGAATCTTGAAACTTATTGCTGTAAATATGAAGTGTGCTATAATAAACAATATCAAATTAATATTATTAGCATTATCTATGTGGACTCTCTGACAAACTTAATGCTTATAAAAGGTTACTAGCTATGTGGACTCTCTGAATGCCATGTAGAGTTGACCAAATAAATACATGTGAACTCTCTGAATGAGATGCTGAGCCTAAATTCTATGGTCAGCTTTTAGTCTAGCTATTTCAATATTTTCAGTGTTCTGGTTTTTTATTTCGTTTGTACTCAGGCAGAAGTTTTACATGGAATGGTGGACCAGTTCAGATTTAAACCCAATAAATTTTGTAAATTGAAAATATTTTTTAGTATTTATGAAATGAGAATAGGGGAGATCAGGGCTTTGTGGTCCCATATTGACATAAACATCCATAAAATGAAAAAGCAAGATCGTTCATTTTATTTTTATGAAAAAGCTACCAAATTCAACTTGTTGAGGATAAATTGGGATTTTAACTTTGACGTTGGGCCATGTCCCCAACTTCCCAACACCCCCACCCCCCACCTATTTCATGTTGCTAGTAAAGTATTTGATATAATACAACATATAAGTAATATATTGTTGTAGGAGAAAGTCACCAGAATACAATTTAAAGTTAATTTTTTTACGGTAAACTGTGAACATTATTACTGATTAGTTTAGAACAATTCACGTTTCTGAGATCAAAGTATAATTTAGGTTACTACAGGTAATGCCGCATCTGTCCCTTTAAGAAATGTTGTCAATCCGACATGTTGAACATTCTAGATGTCGGACTTACATAACTTTTATAACTGCGTATCAGATATGAATATTCGTCGAAAAAATCCCCTATATTTTAGTCGCGGTTAGATTTTATGGTAAATAGGCTCTTGTTATATTCTAAACTCCAATTGTTTCTGACCCGTCAGCCTCCTAAACGAGATAAAATCTAGCGGGAAATTGTAAACGAACATCCCCTTGAAGTTTAAAAAAATCATAGATTAAATTCGAATTTGACGTTGTTAAACTATAGAATGTTTACACGGGAACAAATGGACTGCGATAGATTGCTGTAGTGAGTGAGCGATGGTAGGGCAGGGAATGTGGCTTATAGTTCAGTCAATTCGGTCTAGTTTGTAAATGGCGCTTTCCACAATTCAACAATTTTTGAAACACTTGATGAAACAAGACCTCTATAGCCACCGTGCCATATATAGGCTATACGTTCTATGTCCAATTCAGTTTCATTTTCATTAATAAAAGTAATATATATTTCAAATAAATATGTTTTCATTGGTTGCACAAAGTTTTAAAAAAAACCGATTCGTAGCCTAAGTGTAAATTTGAAGGACAGTATCACAGTTAAATAGTTCGAGGTTATTCAAGTGGGTCGTGCACGTAACAATCGATTTTTCCAATTAGTTTTATTTATTCTTTAAAAACATTTTTTATGCAAATTGATAAATAAAAAGACATTGAGACACTATTTTCGTTTTGTTACGTCTGAACCTCAACTTTTAGCCACGTCTCTTACATGGAGACCAACTAAGTTCGTGATCTGATTCTAGTAACTATAAGTCAGGCGCGTAGTTTCGTTTTTCTAATGTAATTCAACAATATGATTTATCAGACAGAGTAAAATCTCACTACAAGTAATTGAAGATTTGAAGCCAAAAAAAATAAAATAGAATTGGATTGAAAGCTAACCAATCCAATGCTCAGAAAGAAGCCAATGATTTTAAAATAAATATTTTGTCCAATCAACTGGGTCTGTTTTCGACCAATTACTGAGTAGATCTTTGTTACAGCCTTAATACATGGTTGATGCAACCTACCACATACACTTCATATAGTTCATAGCGAACTGAGCGGTAAATTTTGAAAATTATCAGAAAAAAGAAAAATAGAAGAAGTAATCCTACAGAGAAAGCAAGTAAGAAAATATATTTAGTCGATTTAAGCTGAAATCTCATGATGAGTCCTGATAATCTAGTGACATAGGATAAATAATCCTGTTGTATTTATATCGATAGAGATCATATTGACAGTGAAACATCTGCCCGTTCGTTAGTACTTGGTTTATTTATTGCAACAGTTTCCCATATATATATATAGTATTTTGAAAAATTTTAAACCTTTTCAACCTTTCGTTGATTTGAATGCACGAGTAATGCGGAGAATCTAATATCGGCATTATAATACATTTTAATTCTAAATTATGGAAAATAATTTCTGTTTATTAATTTATCATCATCAATCTCACAATAATTAAAGTTGATTGTATCTTTATTTTTACAACAATATTGAAAGTTGATTGTATCTTTATTTTTACAATAATATTGAAAGTTGATTGTATCTTTATTTTTACAACAATATTGAAAGTTGATTGTATCTTTATTTTTACAACAATATTGAAAGTTGATTGTATCTTTATTTTTACAATAATATTGAAAGTTGATTGTATCTTTATTTTTACAACAATATTGAAAGTTGATTGTATCTTTATTTTTACAACAATATTGAAAGTTGATTGTATCTTTATTTTTACAATAATATTGAAAGTTGATTGTATCTTTATTTTTACAATAATATTGAAAGTTGATTGTATCTTTATTTTTACAACAATATTGAAAGTTGATTGTATCTTTATTTTTACAACAATGTTGATACTCTTACTATAAGATAAGTCACAGTAATATTTACATCAGCTCCACATTCTTATTTCAGAAATGCCTAAAAGAAAATCTATTAAAGGTCGTAAACGATCTATAAACAGATGCAGATCTGGTGTTGTAGCTTTTGGAGCAGCTGCAAACTATCGTGGATCTTTTGATTTAAAGATCAGAAATCCATCCCAGCGATTAGCTCTGAAGGCTAATTTACGCCTCCAGAGTGCAGCAATAGGGGTTCGACGGGTAAATTTTGCTCTCTAAACTGCAGTTTAACTTTTTAAATGACTTTTTGTAGATAAAGTTAGATAGATAGACCATTTAAAGGGATAAATGCGTCATATTTTAGTGTCAGAAGCGGATTTTTTTTAGCTAATCCAATCAGTAATAATAGTGTTCACAACTCACCGTCGAAATTTGAGCCTGAATGTTGAAATGATGACTCGTCAAGACTACAATCAACCCCCCCCCGATGTTTTGTTTTTTTACTACGCCTCTCTTTGAAATGGACCTCTCCCTCTGTGTACATTGTCTGTATATATAGACACGATAGAGCCTAAGTTTGTAATAATTTGTATTTTTTTTATCTATAAATATACTGTTTATGTCTAAACCTATTATGATTGTTATTTTTGTTTTTCGTTATAGGGGAGAAAAGTGGCCATGTTGGGTGGATATAGGTTGAATTGGAGTTATTCCATTGCCTATCAAAAAAAGAGGTAATTTTAGCCCGACAACTCTGGCCTTAGTTCTTCTGACGTGATATACGGATCACGTGATTCAAGTCACATGGCTACGGGCGCACTTTGACACTCTTATATTTATAAGTTAAACTTTCTGAAGTAAGAAAAATCATATCCTTTGACTGTTCATTGGCATCGTGTGGGGCACAGTAACATTGCAGAATATCCAGTAATGTCTTGATGGGCTGATTGATGGTTCAGTTTTATAACATACCATTAAGTATTACAAGCTTGACTTTGTCTTGATGAAAATTGTCAAAAATTTATACTTTTCTGTACTATATGGACTAATGAAGACGATGTCTGAAACCCGAAACAAGGTGACAGTAGGCCTATCACATCTGTATAATTTGTCCGAGGAACTCGGTAGGACCAGAGTCATCGGACTAAAGTATTCGAAGCTTCTATCTAAAATTAGATTATAACATGATATCGATAATTCCCATTGATCTTGTAAATATAAACGTACGGGCGTTCTTTGTCTTGTGTTAATTTGAACCAATCAAAGCGTGTCATGTAGAAACTCATAGTAGAGCAATATGACCACAGCCTATAGTAGGCCAATATTGGTTTTTGTCATCCAACAAAATATATAGAATGTCATAATTCAATATGTCAAAACAACTTTACTGTATTTTCATTTTTAGGTGCATGAAGAGGCGATGAAATAAAAAATGATATTCTGGAAGCAGACCAAACTTCAATCTTCCAGAATCTTCCATTTTTGTTTATTGTTTTAAATTTATTTGATAATAAATATTAAATGAAAATGTGATTTAATTTTGTTAATTCTTAAAGTAATTATAATTTATAGTCCGCAAGCATGTATAATGCGCACCTATCCCTTAAGTATATCTGGAAAATCTATGTCACTGTAAATAATGCGCACCCGTTCTGATGAAAAAATCAACAAAATGGCATAACGCAGACACCGTAATAGTGAATGGAAATAAAATCAAACTGCTCTCACGACTCAAATTGTTAACGATATTTTAAAATCAACATCTCAAAAATCAGTTTAAATTATCATCAACTTCAAATATTCGGCATGGGGACATTGAGCATATAGACTATATTGTATCTTGATAGACTTATTTTGCTTCAGCTTAGTACAGATCTCAAAATTTATTCCAGACTTAGGTTATATCAAAGTGAAAATTCTCAAAAACTAGCAATACAAAAAAGGATCAGAGCAACTCCCATAAAGAGTGGTAATTAACATACCGATATCCTAGCTGTAAATCACGTCCAAGGAATTAGTAGGGTTACTCGCTAAAATGAGAGAATCTGAGATCAGAACCATCAATACATAGCACTGTTAGATGGTAAAGAGAACATATACTCTCATAAAAGCTGCACTGACCTAGGTTACATTGTTTCAAGGGGCAATCTGACTTTATCTTTTTATCAAGTTCATGTAAACATAGACCAAAATCTTGGCAAATCCATCCCTTATACTTCATATACTTTATCTGAAAGTTTAAATTTTAAAAATAATGACTTTGTTTTTAAAACTATTTAAGTCACATAACGGATTATAAATTAACCCTTTTAAAACGAATTCAGGTAAATCAAATCACAGGCGCTTGGGTCGAAATATGCCCCTTACGACTTGACCCCTTCCTCAACATTCCATCTTTACCTTATTTCGGTAAATTTACAATGTCTTTGATAATAAAAATTTGACATATTGCATGCCACTTTAAAGATTTAAAAGTTGAATCACAATAAACATTTTTTTCTCTGTTTTCGACCAATCGCAGCGTTGAAAGCAACAATAACCAATAACTTGACGAGGCAGATAATATACTCTTCATTACTCGAATATTTAGCGCTAAATTTCAAATAGCAAAGAGGAAAGAAAACGTTAAATTTTGAAATTATTTTAACAAGGAAAAATAGAAAGAAGTAAGAAATATATTTATTCTTTTTAAAACAAATAAACATTTTTAAAATTAAGGCCTTAAATTGTAGATTTTATGCAAATTTGAAAGAATATTCCTTTTATCTTTACAGTTTTATATATAAAAATACATACTTCAAGGGCCTGGATTTTTTGGGGTTTTTTTGGTGGGGGGGGGGGGGGGATATTCTAGAAATGAACAGAAATGGAGTTCTACGTCCTTCTTTTCTGCAGGCAACAGGCAACGCCATGCAGGGTACAATGAGGGAAAATTTTGCCAGGACAACGGCATTAACCTGCCAACATATTCTCCAAACGATCTTAGCGCTAGGAAGTTCTTATCTTCTAACATTGATTATAGAACATCCTAGCTAAGATCGTTTCCAGAATACATGGCCTGCTCATTTTTCGATTTCCAACTATTAACGTGCACAGCCTGTAGCACACAGTGAAATATTCTAGAATTATCTATCTATCTATATATAATACAATACTAATTGTTCTATTTATAACTATGATGTAGAGGCCCTGTCTACTTTTAACTCGACACTTAATATTCTTCTTGCTTAATAATTTTGAAAAAAAACCAAAGATTAAAACCGTTTAATATCCATTAGATCACTATAGGCGAGGCCAGAGTGCAATGTCGCTTTGTTAACCCTTTACACTAGTTTTTGAATAATTGATCTGAATTCGTGGAAAGTATTAAAAATATATTTCCGTGAATTCTATTTTTATCTCTGAAATAGTGTTTATTAAATTTATTAGTGTTTAAAGAATTTTAAATTTTGCTGACACGTGACGTGACGTCATTTATCATATAAAGTTATATAATATATATCAGATATCTTAGGTCTATCAGTCATTATATAAAAGTTTCGTCGTATTGCAAACATAAAGTCTAGATTTTAGTTAATTTGCAAAGTTGAGGTAGGTTTATATAAATTTCAATGCAACTCTTTTTTTTATATCCTCAACCACTGACAATCTACCTGTTTGGCAAACGTTTGACTCACTGAACCACCGCGGCTCCCTTCAGAAATGAAATGAATGGAGTTTTACGTCCTACTTTTCTGCACCATGTGGCTCCCCACAGAGAGTAGGCACAATTTCATGGTATACTACTCGGACTACTTCTGAGTTTTAAATAGTGCCTACATAACGTTTCAACAATTTACATTGTCGTCCTCAGATGAAATATTAGGCCTTCATACTGAAGGATTAGTAATATTTCAGGGCCTTTGTGATTGCTTCATATCATAAAAAGGTGAGACTGAAAAATTTGAATGGCACAGTTTAATCCAATGCTGATATTCTGTGTAAGGCGAGGGGAAAGGGGGCGGGGATAAGGATACAAGAGCGCGGGATAAATTCCCGCAAAAAATTAGGTCATAACCTTTGATCATGTGACTTAACTAAAACATAGCATAGGGTGAAGTGGGGCTTGGTCGTACAAATAATACCCATATTCTTCACAGTACCGGTGTCCTTGATCAGTTGCTGAACTGGATGAGTTGGGACCTGTGGAATTCCGTGGGTTGGAGGTTGGGGCCCCTCCCCCGTGATTTTCAGTAAGTTAATTTAATGCTCATAATAGACATAGGGCCTAATTTCTTAAATAAAGATAAAATATTGACTTTGGTAGAGCCCCGGCAATTTAAATTCTGTGTCAACCTTTTAAATACTTACTTTGGTAGACTCTATTTTTTCTCGAGGTGGGCCCCTAAGGAGCGAGGACCCCTTGACTTCAACCAATCTATATGGTAGTTGATATACATAATAGGTTTATAATAGATTTATAAAACTTTCTTATATAGTATTTAAGTATTAAGTCTGAAGAAGATTAAGTTGCCCAACATCTTAATTCCAGATGCACCCGACAAATAAAATGGTTCGAAAATCAACTGGAGGTACCAAATCTGTATGTAAGAGAAAAAGTGCCCCTAGAATGGGTTTTATAGCTATACGAGAAAACGTACGAAGCAAGAAATCTGCAGATGTGCGGATCAAAAAATCATCTTGTGCAGCTCCACGAAAACGAGTTGCCAAGACACCTCGTAAAAAAGTTGTTACCAAGGCTCCACGGAAGAGGGTATCATCTACCAAACCACGAAGGTGCAGATCTTCTTTAAGTGCAGCTATGAAGAGAGATTCGGGATTCCAGAGAGAAACCGTTGTGCTTATGTCTCTATAGGTAACATGAATATTGAATCTTTGCATTTTCGTCTGCAGAATATCATTATTTAAATTACTACAGATGAAAGTTGACGTACGTTACTTCGCCTGACAACCTATCTTCTATTATGTTTATTCCATTCATTTCTCTCAATATTTATTTTACCTTTTATAACTATACCTATTACAATTTTCTTTTCTTAGATAGAAGACTGTAGATTTAATAAACTGAGTAAGTATTTGAAGTTTCTTTCTTCACTTCGTCCAAACATGATAAACGTCCACTACCTTTGATCTCTGTTCGTTAACAGGTATAGTCTGGGCCTGGTCAGTGGGTGTATGTCACTTTACCTGGAAAGCTATCGTCTATATTTATACCTGTAATTTCTTTTAATACTAATTATTCCTTTAGTAACTATACCCATTTTCTTTTCATAGAGCGTGTTGATTTTCATTCCTAAATCATTTCATTTGTAGGTTTATGAAGAAATGGCGATGATTGCAAGGGTTAACTGTCATTTAGGTACAAATATTTTAAGCACAAGGCAGTTAGACACGGTACTTTAAGCACAGCGTTATATAGGCAGTGATTGATTCACATTTTCAATAAGAAACATTTTTATTTAGGTAGACCTTCAATTAAGAACACATTTTTTAGGCACACTTATATTCGACACAATGTTAAAAGAACAGTGATTTAGGCACCTCTTCAATTAAACACACATATTCACTTAGGCAAGAATTTTTTTAGGCAACGAATTTTAGGCACAATGTCAAAATTGAACACATGAGCAGTGAGGTGGTTAGGGGATAGGGGAATGCACCTCAAAGACCCAAGATTGAATAATGGAAAAAAGGGCAAAAGACTTGTAATAAAGGTCACCTGATTGAGGTAGAAAGCCACGTATTCTCGAAACGATCTTAATTCTAGGATGTCTTTTGGTCTTGACTTCTAACATTGATTATAGGATATCCTAGCGCTAAGATCGTTTAGAGAATACGTTGCCTGTATTTTGTCTAATTTGAATACCAAATAGTGATATCACCTAGGAACGAGTTCGTGTTACCGGGATGATCTCTATTTATGCTACCCTAGACGAAGTGTGCCGAAAGTACAATGCCTAACTGTCTTCTCAAAATATTTGTGCCCTTTTGACTGCCTACCCTTTGCAAGATGCCTGATATGGAAGCAGACCAAACCACGAAATCTTCCTGAATCTTCCATTTTTAATAGTAAATAAAAATGTAACTCAACTGGTTTTTATCATTCTCAAAGTAATACCAAGTTTTCATGGATTCCAGTCTGTCTGTAGAGATGGTAACAACCAATAGGGGTTCACTCTTTTTTCCTTTTAGTGTATCGGGGTCCATTTTTTGCTTCTATTTGCATCATTCCATTTACGTCAGATGTCTGTGGTTCCTGTAATTAAAGAAGGTATGTTTTGATGGGGGATGTTGACTTTTAATTATATGAGTTTAAGGCATAATTTCCTGTACCTGCAAATGCCATACAGGGTGCAATGAGTACAAGACATAATTTTGCAGGGATCTGATTGGTTAACAAATAATCAATTTAAGTAATAGACCAATCAGGCAAAGAGAATTCTCATGTGGGCTAATGAAGACAGGTAACGCCATGCAGGGTGCAATGAGTGCAAGACATAATTTTGCCAGGACAGCGGCAGAAGTCTAAACTTTTTTTTACTTCCAATTGTCAAGGAGTCTTTTATATGAACAGCCTTTGGTTGGATTGTACACTTGCGTATACAGCCAATCAGAAACTCTGTTACTTTGTGTTAACAGACTTCTCATCGAGGGCCCTGATTGGTTGAATTCTTTTGCAAACAATCCAATCAATCACTGTATTTACAATCTTCTATGATACAAGAAAGTTGACTATTGTAGTCAAGGTATAAGACAGTTCGTAAAAGCTTAATAGCTTGATATTGTCAAGATGTGAAACAAGAAGTTGACTATTGTAGTCAAGGTATAAGACACTTCGTAAAAGCTTAATAGCTTGATATTTTCAAGATGTGAAACGGGAAGGTGACTATTGTAGTCAAGGTATAAGACACTTCGTAAAAGCTTAATAGCTTGATATTTTCAAGATGTGAAACAGGAAGGTGACTATTGTAGTCAAGGTATAAGACACTTCGTAAAAGCTTAATAGCTTGATATTTTCAAGATGTGAAACAAGAAGTTGACTATTGTAGACAAGAAACTTTCCTTAACAAATGTCTGAGGTTGACCAAACTGTTACCAGAAGTCCCAATGTAAGCTACTAACAGATAACAGACAGCTGGTGAATTTACAGAACAGAGCTGTTGTATTGAAAACAGATCAAATTATACAGAGAAATAATGCTGATCATACATTGTACATCATAATTAGATTATCAAGATCAAAATTGAAACTAAATAATATCACAAACAAGTCACAGATCTTTGGTTTAAGAAAACGTACTAAAGGTACAGAGTTGTATGTTGGGTGGGGTTGGCGTATTAATACCCCCAAGGGATACTAGCAACCCTACAGAGGCCTCTTGGTGACATTCAGTCTTCATATGGGGGGTAATGGGGAACCAGGGTGTTTGAAATGTAAATATAGGAGAATAAAGAAACCAAAACAATATGAAACAAGGTTTAACACAAGGTTAAGGAATGTATAAAACAGGTCTTTAAAAGGTTTTAGGTAAATGTGAAATAACTTATTTTAAACCAAATCAAATATGGACAACATTAATCATTAGAAAATAAATATGTGTTATTTGGGAAATGATGGAGTATGCAAGAATGATAAAATGGTGTTAAGTACAACCTGTAAACAAAAAAATTTTCACAGTAAGCAAGGAATTGATAAATAGATCATGGAAACATATAAAGCTATAATACATAATAATATGAGCACCATTCTGACAATAATTTTACAGTAAACAAGCAATTATCAAATTTCATAATATATAAAAATCTTAGACAAACATTATATATAGAAAAGTTAAATTCACATCAATATACAAGTTAATAATAATGAACACTTTGTGACACAATAAGATATAATGTGTAAAGTTAGGTGTAAGTTTTAACAACTACCAGGGTGATCAGAAAACAGGAATCAGGAATTCAACCAGTATTATTAAACCCAAGGTTGACTTAAAAAAAACTCACAGAGACAGGCGAAAAAAGCACTTTTATGACCCAATTAATCAAGCAAAATATAAATAGCACCATCAAGACATAAGAAAATAAAGAATATATAAATCACATGTCATGGCACATCATGATTATCAGCAGGTTACCATGGTTTCACCAAATAAAAACTGTCACTCTTACTTTAGACAAAAAAAATCACAAGATATCATAATATCCGTGTTGAATTCAAAACATAAACAATTCACTATATTTTGTGGAATAAGGTGAAATATTTGTCTTTATAATTTGAATAAAACCTGGACATGTACTTGTATATTTGCTCAACTAATGGTTTGGTTTGTTGTTTAAATTTGAACAAGATATAGAAGGATGAATAAAATACCAATCTAGTTTTAACATGATAAACAAACATTGTACTCATAATGTGAAATTAAAAAATTTATGAAATATATTGCAATAAAGATTATTTATTTGCTAAAAAAAAAGATTTGAAGTTCCATTGTATTTGTAACCTTAAAATTTCTTTTTGATTTACACATCCTGTTTTATTAAGTTTCTTTTCTTCTGTAGAGAAAAACAAACATATTGGTATCTGATCTATTGGTATCAGATCTATTGGTATCAGATCTATTGGTATCAGATCTATTGGTATCAGATCTATTGGTATCAGATTTATTGGTATCAGATCTATTGTAAGAACTTTGAGATTCTGATAATTAAGAATTCAATTTCTAAAAACTCATTACTAATTATGATAAGATGAAAAAGGAGTTTAAGACACAAAAATACAAATTGCATATAACTTCTGTTCAAAGACTTTATAAATACAATGCCAAGTTTTTCTCCTTCTTTTATTCTTAGAAATGATACAAAAACACTGGGTATATCCAGATTTTACAATCTCTTATTCATTCAAAAAACACAAATTTCTCCATTTTGGAATTATTTATATTTAGACGCTACACAAGTCATCCCAACGTTTTCAGGTGTTTCCTTCATGCAAAGAAGCATGGAAAAATTCACATCTAAAAGTTACCTTCTATCTGAAAAAATGCATACTTTTCTACACCTAATTCAGCTTAAGAAGAGGGGCAACACTCTGCAGTGTGCAATGAAAGAACACAAAAATAATTGGAATAATCAATCTGCATTATGTGTTATGATGTAGAATAACGTAGAATTACTCTCCACTCAGATCTTCCAATTCCTTCTCATCTACATCAGCATCTAAATCTTTGGCCTGACTCAGGTTAGAATTATTCGTATTATCAACGAGAGGATTCGCAGTTCCAATATTCTTTAACATTCCATCAGTTTCATTGAACCTGAAAAAATTATAGAGATAAACCATTATTCTAACCTTAAATTTGACATAGGTTGAGATAGGTTTTATTACAGGCCATACAGGGGCACAATCATTACTGTTGGCCTTTAAAAGGACAGGTGCCCCACTTAGGGGGCGGTTGATTTGAGTCTTGAATATATGTAAACAGTCCTCAGATTGTAATGTAAACAAGTTGCATAATTCCTTTAAAAATGCTTAAACTAGGAATTTTACTCACTATTTCTAGAAAAGTCTTTTCTATATATGGCAGTTTCTCACAGAATGAAATTGATTGTAAGAAAGGTTCTTGTGTTTCCACTGAGCACTATTTCCAAGGATAACAAATTTTACTTACAAATTTTTGATTCTCTCCACTTTATTCTGAGTAGATTCGTCAATAAATAAACAAGGATTGTTGGTGTCTTTCGTCTCCGGGGAGCCAGCACTATCAGGGGTGGGGGCAACGTCAGATTCAGGGGTCGTAGATCTGTCAGACGTCGCCCCATCTTGAAGTCCATTCCCATTCCATGCTTCAACTGGTTTTGGACCATCATCAAAGTTCATGAGATTTCGTACTGGTTTTTCTGGAGAGGCGTGAAGTTTTTTCACCATTTTATCTGTGGGAAAAGATTTTTATTGAAAATTATATCGAAAAATTCAGAATTTGTAAAAGAAACTAGACTTTTCCCCCCATTTACTTATAGCAAAGGTTTAACTTCCATCCATCCAAATTATTCTAAATATTATCTTTAATCAAAATCAAATTTTATACAAATATCACTTAACATCAATTCTTAAACAACTACACGAGGACTGAGGTATCTTCACGATATCAGCGGATAAAGAAAATACGAAAATAACTATAATTAATCTGCGATATCATAATGCTGAACTTGTCATCCACCTACTAACGACTATATATCTTTAATCATATTTACCTCCATGTACAAAAGATTCCACGCAAACAAACGCTCCTTTATTGGTGTTTTTAACAGTAGAGGGACTGTCACTCATAGCAACTACAGGAACAACTGGCATCGGAGAGTCTGTTGGTGCCATCTACAAAGATACTGGTAAGTTATTACTAAATTAGGTGCAGACTTCAGTAAAGATAAACTCCAACTTCCATGACGAGAAAGAACAATTATATCAAAATGGATTTTGGGGAAAAAAGGTTGTAAACTGAGAATCTGGCTATAAATAGTAACAGTGGCCACAGAAGCAAAAATTAAGAACTCTGGGAGCTATGAAAGTCTCTAATCCTGCATTTTTTTACAGCCCCATTATGTGTCGAATTATGGAGAGAGCAAGGTAATGTCTTTAGGAGAAGCCACACCTACCTTAGCCTCCATCATGGCCATTCTGTTTTCTAAGAGAATTAACCTAGCCAAGATGGTTTCCTGTTGTTGTTTAATACCAGTAACATCTGACTTGACGTCTGCTAGAGGTACTGGTGGTGGAGCCACTGATTCTGTTGGAGGCTGGATCATTGAACTATGACCTAATGGTGAGGATATTTTAGTCACTGGTACTTCTAGGAACGACACTCGACTTGAAACATCTTCTACCATCTATAAATTAAATACGGTACAAAGTTTCAATATCCTTATTTTCTAAACCTAACTATGCAAATGGAGACATGCAACACCTTGCAGTGTGCAAAGAGGGTTTTTTGGCCATGCCTACTGCATAAGCCTACCTTTATTCGATTTCCAACTGTAGAGCAGTGTGTAGAACACAGAACCTCAGTATATTGTCCTATCTGAATGGGAGGTATTATGGTCAGGGACCGAACCCTGGACCTTAATGTAAGCAGTCTGGAGAAGAATTTCCTATTTTAAAGATGGCCTACACTTTTTTGATTATCAACTGTCGATGCAGTGTGAAGCACACAGAAACTCAGTATTTTGTCCAATCCTTACAGTTCTATGTCTGGATTTAGCCTGTGTAAGCAATTAGCACAAACTTTACTTAGCCACTGCTGTTTAGACAAATAATTTTCTGAACCCGAGTGTGCTTAAAGAGAATAGCAACACCATGCAGTGTGTAATGAGGGACTTTTGCCACGACAGCACAAGCGTACCAATTATTATCTGTCGAGGCAGTGTGCAGCACACTGTATCAATGACAACCCTATGTCAGGACTGATCTCTTGGCCCTCGTGTAAACTATAAACACTGAATTTACTAAGCCACTGCATGTTAGAGAAATAATATTACCTTGAATAATTCTGACATCTGACTAGTTAATCTAGAGACAAGTTCCATCTGTTCTGGATGAACAGGAGATTGTTGACTGGAGTTCACTTCACCATCTACAAAACATTTATAAGTCGATGATAGGGGCTTAAAGCCAACACTAGGGCATGTTCCGTAAGCACCGTCAGTGGCATCTAGATTATACTCATTTAAAGAGGATTTGAACCATCAGAATCTAATCACCTAGCAGACAACAATCCATTCTCTAGTAACTGAACTATTCCACTGCCATGGATAAGGTCCAAAGTACAAATTGAACCTCCTTCTGTCCTGCACGACAGCAAAATCATACAGAAGAAGAAATCAAGCAGAAACAAAAGTCAACCCCAAATGTATCAAATCATAAGACAGCTGGATTGACATTTACAGTTGGGAATACAAAAAAGTAAATGTAAAACTTACTGACCTCTGGGTAACCTCACAACCTCAACAGCCGTAGGTCGAACTCTGATAATACTGGGTGTCCCACAATAACTCTCACCACCATCTTGTGGTTCCTCAGGCTTTGTGGCTTTCAAATCCAGTCCTTTATGTTTCACTGCTATTGGTTTAGGTGGTCTACCTGTAGGAGCACTGGATGGTCGAGTCAACCCTACAGTCTCTGTCTTACCAGGCCTATGTGTTCTACCAACTGTCTCTTTGGCTATTTTTCTGGCTTTTGATGTTTCTGAAAATATTTGTAATAAAATAGAATATGCATGAATGCCCAGATATCCAACTCCAAATCATTACCTGATATGACTAATGAGGACGCAAACTATCACCCGATATGACTAATGAGGACGCGAACTATCACCTGATATGACTAATGAGGACGCGAACTATCACCTGATATGACTAATGAGGACGCGAACTATCATGCAGAATGCAAAGCTGGAAATTTCATGATAAAAGCATTAGCCAACCCTTTTTCATTTCCAAATAATACCTACCTATCATAGAAATTCTTCTGGTTTCTGCTGGTTTTACTTTCAGCTGAAAAAATCAAATTTACAATTATATCCATCAAGATGCATTTTACCTACTTTCCAGAAATCTGAATTTCTCAACCTACATTCACGAACAAATGCAAACTTTTTTATTGTTAATTTTATGTGTAAATTTTTGGATAAGCTAAAAAAAAAAAAAGGTTAATCAGAAGTTGTTTTGTTTTTAATTCATATGATCTTGGAAATTTGCTTTATAATAAAAATCATCACATAAATTTAGATTTTTGATTCCTTCAGGGACAGAAAAGTTGGAAGTAGATCTCCATTTTATTTCATTTGCAGTATCTAATGAAACTTACAGAATTAAGAGAATCCATTGAAGAGTTAACTCTGAGACTAGTAGACCCTCTAGGTGTTGGCTGCAGTTCCTTTTTCTTGGCTCGAATCAACCCTAGAATTTCTGTTGTCATGATAACTTTACGTTCAGCAAACCCCGAGGAGAAAAACTGGTCTTTAGATATCAGTGGTTTATATTTAAACATGTCTCGTAGTATCTGAAAGTGAAACAATATACTATAAATATTTACAACATAATCAGCAAACTATGATTGAAAAAATAACCAATCATCTTCAGCGCAATTTGTCGTTAAATTAGATGTTATTATTTATTATTATCAGTGTCAGAATATTTCAAAAATAAATTGGGATACAAAAAGATGTCACATTAAAGGGACAGATGAGCCATTCTTTTTGACCAATCATATTCATACTTTAGTCTCAGAACAGGAATTTTTTTAGCTAAGCCAATCAGTAATTAATAGTGTCGAAATTTGAGCCTTCAAACCCATGTGTGTGCAGAATTATCCGCGTTTGAATGTTAAATTGACAACTTGTGTGATATATAGAAAAGACATAATAGAAATAGTGAGTAAAACTACTAGTTTGAGATATTTTTGAAGAAATTTTTGAAGAAATTATATGATTTTCGTACATGTCTAGTACTTCTGAAGATTATATACATATTTTCAACACTCGAAGCAACTCCCCAAAATGGCGCACCTGCCCCTTTAAGAATATTGTCACACTATATTTACAGTACAGATCAAACTCTGAATATTATTGCTGGTGACTGTAGAGAGATAATAATGGTGTATCAGTCTAACCACAATCAATTCTTACCTTATATACGGCTTCCATAAAACGGAGATCTGACTTTCCGAATAACTCTATATCCATCTCAGCTATTTTTGCAGCAACAGCAGAACTATACTGAGTAAAGGCATAGTGATAAATTGGTAAGAAAGCTGTTGGAACTCCTTTTGATAATCTACAATAAAACAAGGTTTGTGAGTTAAATGATTAAGTTGATTTCGGGTTAAAAATTTGTAGTCAGTGGTGTTGTATGTTTTGCCATGTGGTTTGACCAAGGACCAACTGGTAGACCTAAGTTGTTATGGTATCTGATACAAGACTGCAGCAACTCTTGTCAACTCTTCACCCTTTTCAGTTCACATACCCTATCACGTTTGAGGTTATTAACTGATACTTACCCAGCGACGTCAGCCGTCTCAGGATATTTCAACAACTTAATCTCTGACTGAAGTTTACGCAAATTGTTTTTTATGTCTCCTGTTGCCATGTTTACTTCTTACCTCACCTTGCTGTCGTCCTACAAAAAATCATAATTAACTTTAAAGATCTACCAGACTATTTATCAGTCAGCAATATTGGCTACAGAATCTTCCTGATGAAGAGGAGGTCTGCAATGTGATAGGAGTTGAAATCCACCGTCAGGTTGAGTTTTAGAATATACTGGCACAGACATCAGAATTTTTCTTGTGATATTACCCCTAGCAGACGACAATATTGAGCAATACAACTAACTTTTGACTTTTGATTTCTCTTTCCATACACGGAAATAGACTTGATTATGGAGAAGGCAACAATCATGTCATCTGAGTAAAATAATAAGAAATGACACATTATTTCCTTGTCTTCCCATGACTAAGATCTTAACTCCATATTATCATATGCATATGACATGACTTCCTAGCTTAGCTTAGCTTGGAGTAGACTTAGTAGTTGAGTTTGAGAGTAAAAAATCAGCAATAGGCCTAATGAGTTGTCTATCATTCAGTGTCGGTGAAATGTTTGATCTATTGACATTTTACAGAAATAAACAAGAATGCTAAATGTTCATTTTTTACAATATTGCTTAAACGGAACTGGATTCATTGCGTTCTGAGTGAGTTGTTGACATGTTGCCAAGCGGATAAAATTCTGACAGAAATATTGAGTGAAAATCATCATTGATTTAACGATTAGCCTCCAAATGAAATGCCCAAAAGCCCTAAAAATTGAAAAACAAGACACAATTCTCTAATTTTCTAAGAAGACATCATACCAATAGAAGATGACTCAACAAGCTTGAGAAGTTTTCAACTTTGACATAAATTATCGAACCAAAATTCATAAATGGCGGAGGTTGATGAAAGTGGCGACATCTATATCATCAATAAATCACGTGACAAACATCGGGACTTTCCGTCAAATTCCGTTAAATTGAGAAATTCATAGAAATACCAACATTACTGTTAGCTGGCTTTATAACTTAACGATTTTTTGAGAAAGTTGTAATGGCCGGGGGACACTATCCAAGACACCTCACTCCGACCTATTGCAACACTTTTTTTAGTTATTTTATAAAGTTAAGCGAATGCAATATCGGCTGGAGGGCTGACTACACAAGACGAGATCATTTTACACCGTCAAAAATTCCGTCAAAAGATTAATCAGTGTGCGCCAGGCCCGTAACCAGTCCAATGTGCCATGAGAACAAAATCTGATAAAGAATGATTTCAGCTTCAATTGAGAATTTGTTCGAATTTTGCAGGGCATGTATTAATGGATTTGTAAATGAACCGCTGCCCACCCCCCACCACACACACATACACACCCTACCGCCCAAAATTATGTTTCCCAGATCTTGCATCATGAGCGGAGTGACCCATAAAAAAACAAACGAAACAAGCTATATTGAGTTACATATCATAGAGATTTATCAAGATGATCTATTATTCAATCCTAACCATCATATCAACTATCTTTACGTATATATCATCTCTTAAACCGATAACCCTACCCCCGGGCGCCTAGTTTTCCTCTGATATCAACTCGATGATGCTTCAGTAATAATTTTAACGGCCGATTTTCAGATTATTTCGAATTACGACACCATTTTATAGGAATCGTGATGTAGCTTATTTTCATTTGCGTCAGAAGATGACGCTTTCTTGGTTATCCACCTAGATTTGGTTGGTCTATTTCTAAAAAGATCCTGAAGGGAAGGAGATAAAACTTGCTAATTTGGGATTAGGTTTTGAACGATACTGCTCGTTTTGATGATCAGCTTGTACCGATTGGATCAATTCCTCTATACGGACGAGCGGGACGTTTTATTCGTTTGAGGATTGTTTGTGTCGTTTGTCACGCAAGGGATGAAGTTTTCAACTTGGAACCGAACATTCTGCTTCAACAGTTTATAACACGTGATGTGATACATTGTAACAATAATTTGAAAATTTCATGGGTTTAGGATTTTACCACTATATCAGTATAACATTCGTCAGAAAATGGTATATTCTCCCTTCGTGGACAATCATTAGAATTACACTCTACTGCCAACTTGTGTGGAGAGACTCGGACTAACAATGAGGACTTTGTGTATTTTGTTTCTCGGATTAACCTTCCTTATTTATGAAAGTCAGACAGGCAAGCTACCTGCACCAGGTAAGATAATAAGATTTTGGACTATAGCAAACAATAGTGGTATGGTATGTATGATGCTTGATATTGGATACAGTAATCGAAGGGGCTTCTCCTGTATTCTATTGCCTCGACAAAAGCACACGGTACGCCATGGGTCGCGCTGGAAATTTTTCTCAGGCGCAGGGATGAGAGTCTTTTGGATATATCTAACTGGATAGGTGTACCGTAGAGTGATATCCTCGTCCCATCATATCTTTTCAAAACCTGTATTAAAATGATTGTAAAGAGGTTTTAACTTTTGATGTGTATCGACGCAATAAATGGCTTCTATTTGCAGCATTCCAATTTTGCATTTTGTCACCCGTGGTAAATATCTCCTGCCTGTTATAATCTATAATGTTGAAATATGGAAGGGTTTATGAGCTAAAATAAAATAGTTTGAATTTAATCCCCTTCCATAGTTGAATTCCGTTAAAGATGTTTTGGTTTAAGTAATGGCGTCACCTTTTGTGTTTCCCCGGAATAACTTGAGTGCCACCTGCGCAACGGTGTCCTTACGGTAGTCCAAATTGCGAAATTATTAGGCTTACAGAAAAAATTAATGTTTTATGAATGTATACGCTTTACTTTGATTCCGTGTTTCAGTATGTCAGTTCCGGCAACCAGTAGACATCCTTCTAGTAGTTGGAGATACGAGAACAACTCTACGTTACAGTCTTGGTCGGACAGTAATCGCACCAGGCGTCACTAGCTTCATCTACAACATGCTCCGACTATTCTCTTTCCGACTGGAACGAGCCGGTATCATGGCGTTCAGCGATACACCTAGAGTTATAGCTCCACTGAGTAACAACTTTAATTTCATCAATCAACGCATGATGTGGTGGAAACCAGAATTCCGTGGCACGCAGACGTACAGAGCACTGTTTAACGTCAGAAACTATTTCCGCCTTAGAAGCAGACGTCAAAGTAAGAAGATCGCCATTTTGATGGTTGATGGTTGTTCCGATCAAACAGATCTGACAGTCCAGCAAGCCGAGTTGGCCCGTCAAGAGGGCATCACCATAATATCTATGGGTTTCTCTAACAATGTAAACAGTACAGAACTACAAAAGATCTCAGGAGATAGTCGGTATGTGTTTGGAGTCACCAATGACCTTTTCCTGTCCTCGTTAATTCCCACTATAATGAACACCATCTGTGCAAGTAAGTTGATCTTCAATTTCTTACACCATTGCCTCTCCGGATATATTATTTGCCCCTCCGAACAATCAAGACTCGCATATCTATTATTTAATATGTAGTAAGCAGTGAACTACATGATATTGTTATGGCTTATCTCAATAACCTTAGGTCTATGTTCCGTTCCGTTGTTCCGTCTTTTTCCCAAAATTGACATAAGTTACAGAGGCTTCGTTTTGAAACAAGTCGACCTGAGTTGACATGGAAATAGCCATTCAGATCAGCGAAATATCTGAGATTGCCCGAATTTCTAGCAACCCGCCTCTTTGAGCACCGCCACTGATTCAGATGAGACAACAGAGGCCCGAAGTGTATCAGGCTGCACACGTCTGCACAAAAGATTCCTCGACAGTTGGGTACCGACCAACAGTAGGGTTCCAATCAGATGCAGGAAAAGTAGAACCCCATTTCATTTGTTTTATCTCTTCTTTTTTAGTTGGCAATGAAGTTTTGATCTCCTCTCCATCCACCAGCCCGATAACAAGTCCAGTAACCAGTCCCACGCCTCCCGGTGAGTATTCCATGCATCATCTTATAACTGTTTAAGGGATTGCAGCCTTTCTTTTCTAACCTTTTTATATGTAGGCTATGGGAGACATTTATTTGCACCATTTTAATTTGAGACAGATGTCTGTCACTCTGTGGTTCTTGCAATACCACTAAAAGTACGGTAAGCGTTTTTGACGTCACTACCACAAGGCTGTAGAAGCTTCAATAGATTTGGACAAGGACCCTTCATTGGATAGAGTATAGTATATTCATCTAAGTTTTTTGTTCGTTCCAGCTCCGCTCGCTGAGTTGATCCTGATTATGGACGATTCTGAAAGCACCCGAGATTTTTCCGGAATTAAGTATAACTACAATAGACAGATAGGAGAATTCGTCAAGACCATTACCGTCAACATGAACCTAGAGACCTGCCATCTTGGAATTATCATGGTTAGTGACACCGCCCGGGTATTAGTCAACCTCGGCACCAACTTGCCAACCATGACGTCTGCTTTTGGCGAGTTCGCGCCAGAATTTCTAGGAACCAATACAGTAGAGGGATACAAATCTGCTACCACCATGTTTGCCACAATGTCGTCTGCGAATTCCACAACCAGACGATACTTGGTGCTCGTGACAGACGGCGTTCCCATGGATACGTCTGACATTACTCAATATACCAAATCACTTGAAGACAAGGGAGTTAACTTGGGGCTTTTAGCTTTCAACACATTTCATGGATTGGTAATGACGACTGCTGATAAGACAGCATTTTTGCAGAATTCGTCATGGTATCTGACTGCTCAGTCTAACACTTTAGTCGACAGAGCCAAAGACATAGCAGGCGTCGTCTGTCCATGAAAGGTGATACGCGGCCGAGCGTCTAACTAATGGACACGTGCTCAGTGGCGTTTACTTTATTCACAAGGTGGGGTTTGGCGAGTTTGTGCTACAACGGTATGGTGGTAGAAACGCCACCCTCGGAAATGTGCTAGGACGAAAAAAAGGGCTTTTTCGCCTGATAGGATCGGATCGGATATTGTTGTATATTTGTATATAATGAATAAATTTTATCATGGGTTGACCGGTGATCGACATTTTCTTAAAACACCTGACAAAAGCAGGCCCGTAGGCTAGCCCATTTGAAAGGGGGGCTCAACTATTGAACTATGCAACTCAGTCATTTGAGTCAAAAATTTTTAGTGGCTGGCCCACCGTTGCCCTAAAGGCCTGGACCAAAGTGACCTCCATTGGTGTACAAATTCACCAATTCCAAAAAGAGCTTCTATAACAGAAGGTGCAGGGTTTAACCTTGGATCCACAGACAAGGGGAAAATGAAGGCATGAGTGGACTTCCCGAATTTATCAGGGTTTGATGGATAAATGGGTCTAAAACCCCAATAAAACAGGACCTAGTTTTTCTGACCCTACTTCAGCCGACAACTGTCAGCAAATTGATAAGAACTAAAACATAATTTACATTTTTTTTTATTTAATCTTTTTTGCTGCTTTGAGGTTTTTCTTTTGTCTTTAATTCTTTTACTGCTAAACCTGAAAAATAAACAAAATCAAGATTTTAGAGAAATGCAGTAAAACTTAATTTAAAATCCATTTGGCCAATCAAATGACTCATCTTAGTTAAGTTTTCACGGATACAGGTCCTCACCTACAATACTACCCGTATGTTCTTATAGTTTTTTTGGTAAGGAGAATTTGCTTCAGAGTAAAGTTATAATCACTGTATATATAATACAAGAGGTGTAAGATCATCATCACTAGCAAGTTTTCTCTTCAATTCCACGGAGGGTGTCTTACATGTTTTAACCATTCCTAACCTTTCGTAGTTAAACAATTGTATTAGACACTTGGTTAATAAATATTTCAGTTTAAAGCCTGTACATAACCAAATTCACTTGCATTTTTTGTATATCTAACACAAGCTTGTGACCTTGGCCAGTGCCAGTACATAGAAGTTTTTAGGAACTTCTTCACTCATAACATGAATTTTATGAATAATATGAGTGAGTGTTAAAATGTCTCTGGTATGAAACAATGGTTAAAATTCGCCACCTCATACAAAGTTATTTGGATAAAATGAGCCACAGTCCCTCATCTATTGATAAATGGACGTGGTTTTAAGATAATGGTAGTAAGAAGAAGAGAAAATACGAACCTGGGGGTAAAGATTGACGTAATTTATCAGCCTTTTCTCGGTCTTGAATAACCAGTGTATAGAGATAACGACTACATCGAACCTTGAATTTAACATTATATCTGTTCTTCTTTATTTTAACAGCTGAAAAACAAAATAGTTTGTCATTAATTATCACAAAAATACAGACATATTCAAACCCTCAATTAATTATTCAAACTCAGACTGACATTGAAAACAAATAAATGGAGTTTTACATCCTACTTTTCAGCACCTTATGGAAAACAACGGACATACCAAATTAGATATTCATCAACAGAAAAAAAAAAAAGTCTGATTTAGATGACAATCTTATAATGGAGTAAAGAATGTTCATTGTACTGAGTAACCTCATTTCAGGCATTTCATATGACACCACCACATATTAAAGTTTTCTCAACTACTCAACAAACAGTACCCTGGTACCAAAATATCCAAGTGGTCCAGATCCAACTTCTACAACTACCTAATCTGCATCATCAGTTAACATGAAATCTTGCTTCAGAATAAATTTGTAACCATTTTTTTTGTCATACAAGAGGTGTAAGAAATCATCATTAGCAAGATCCGCGAATTTTCCGTTAAACTAAAGAAATAAGGTATTCTATAGGGTGTTATTTAGAAGATATTCTCCAAAATAAGCACTGAGTTGGGTCACAAGAAAACAAATTTTACATTTTGATGACTGGTAAATTTAAAAACTTGCTTCAGTGGAATAATTTGATCTCATTATTTAGATCGTAAAAGCGTTAGTTGGTACATCATTAGCAAGTACATTGTTTCATCACCCCATTCAAACACTAAGTTATCTAGCTCTTCAGATATTGTTCCTATTCGAATTGCACCTAAGTTAAAGAAATGATACTACCACAGATAGTATTACAGAGACATCCATGGTCGACTTATCTAATTATCTTAACCTTTTACTTGCACCTTGTTTTATCATAAATCTTTACTTTGTGACCTAGGCCAGTGCTTTCAAGAGACTATGTTCTCATCACCATCTAACAGAAGTAAATAACATGGAAACAGTATTTTAACCAACAAAGTAATCAGTGAGGTGGAAGGAATGGGAATTAAAGTCAGATGTCTGCAAGGGACAAGGCACTCAACTTGTCCAGATACCATACTCATTGATGCTTGAAACTTACAAAAATATGAATAATTTTATCAATACAAACACATACTTCCATGATGAGTAAAATTCACAATAGGAACTACAATTTTACTCATAAAAATCTGAAGAACTCATAACTTCAGGAATTTCTAACAACCAATCAAACTATTTAGAATCTTGCTTCAGAATAAATTTGTAACCATTTTGTTGTCATACAAGAGGTGTAAGAAATCATCATTAGCAAGATCCGTTAATTTTCCGTTAAACTAAAGAAATAAGGTATTCTATAGGGTGTTATTTAGAAGATATTCTCCAAAATAAGCACTGAGTTGGGTCACAAGAAAACAAATTTTACATTTTGATGACTGGTAAATTTAAAAACTTGCTTCAGTGGAAAAATTTGATCTCATTATTTAGATCGTAAAAGCGTTAGTTGGTACATCATTAGCAAGTCGTCTTAAATCACCACAAACTCGTTCACCAGTACTGAGTCCGATTGCATCAAAAAATTATTCAACATTACTTTGCTAAGGAAGACTGTCGAGGCAAAGATGGTATAGCAGATTGCTAATTCATTTAAAAAGAGAAAATAAAACAGGTACAACTTACAATTAGCATCCTTTCGTCTTGCTGTTAGTAAGAAATCCTTGATCTCTTTTATCTGTTTAGGCTGAAAATACATGAAAAAAATACACCTTAATTATTTCATTGACCAGAAAAACATGTCTACACTAAAATATTTCTGTCATTATTGTTGATAAAGCGTCTATGAACATTTCCAACGCATCACTGATGGTGACATTTCTTTCTTCAATTAAACTCAGACAAATTTTTCCTTGAATTACTGTATAAGAAATCTTGAGTTATTTCATTGCAAAGCAACATGGACACATAACTTCAGTAAGCAATCGAACAAAACATTATTGGCGTAACTGCACTACACTGAGTCTGCTGGAGAGAGAGCTCTCGCGATATTGATTTCGTTTGACTTGGAAATATTGCTCTCAATTTCATAAATGATAACTCACCATTTTGCCTTTTTCGGTGCAAATCTGAAATATAACGAGATATGAAAATCAGTAACGAGCAAGAGATTTAGGCATGTTTTCAGGACAAAAATAAATGTTATTTGGAAATTCAGCCATGTTTTTCAGTTGCAGATAACACGAAGTTTTAAAAGCTTATTAATGCGATCGTGACGATATTCATGATAAAATATGGACGGATTGAGTGACAAGAATATCGATATTGGCATTTCAAATATAAATTTGGGATTTTAGGATTCTGGATAAAGAGGATTAATGAGGATTGTGAAGTCATACCAATATTTGATTGTACACCTGAAGGATCGCCTGTAGAAAGGAAGTACAGTGGCGCCGTACCGGATAAATACAAAATAAGGGGGAAGAACTCTTTTTAATTTTCAGACTACAGTAGTTTACTCACCTAACAGTATCTGGCTACCCATTTGGAAATGTATCACAATTTCTGAAGCAAACGGCCTCCGTGAAAGTAACGCAAGCGCTCTGCCGAGAATTGCCGAATGTTTCTGAAGATATCATATTATGGAAATGATTTTTCGAGATTCGTATAATAAGAACTGTTTGACGGTTTCGAGCTGATAATTGGACACCGTGTTGTATTTTTGTCAATCTAATGGATTTTATTTTTGTATCTAAACGGACCGTAAAAGAATCGTTTGATCAATCGTACCTTTAGTCAAGGAACCGGATTTTTTTAGCTAAGCTAATCAGTAATTAGTGTCCACAGCTCCTAAATTTGAGCCTTCAAATCCATGTGTGTAAAGAATTATTCGCGTTGAAAGGTAAAAAGACGACTCGGCTTTTCATGGATTTATATAAGTAGAAAGAGAAATTCCTAGTTTGAGTAATTTCTGACGGAATTATGCAATTTTGTACATTTCTTGTACTTCTGAAGACTATTTGTACATATATTCAAAACTTCCGAAAACGATCCAACTAATGGGAAATAACTCAGTATAAAATCAGACTACAGTTAATTATCAACTTTAATTTCATGAACAATCACACAGTGGCGGAGCC